TTCCACTGTCTCTGACACAGGAGGGTTGTGTATTGCACAATCCATAAAGATTCCCAGAGAACCCAGACCAGGGGAGTTTGAGAAAATCATCAAGAGGCTGATGGAAACCTCGAACGCTCGTGGGGTCATCATCTTTGCCAACGAGGACGACATCAAGTGAGTCGAGTTCAGATTATAAAATGTGCACAAGGACGTTGTTTTATATTTAGCAGTCCAGTTCAATGTTTGATAGTAATTTTCAGTCGCTCTGCGGAAACGGTGCGATGAAGCAAAATGTGTCTTCTTTCAGACGGGTGCTGCAGGCTGCCAAAACGGCCAACCTGACGGGCCACTTCCTGTTTGTTGGATCCGACAGCTGGGGGGCTAAAAGTTCCCCAATTCAAGACCAGGAGGAGGTGGCTGAGGGTGCTGTCACCATCCTGCCCAAAAGAGCCTCTATTGATGGTAGGACACCTTATTAAATCAGATTATTACATCTAACCAGCTGTATGTAGTAGGAACACATGGCGTTGATAGATGAGTCTAATACCAATGCAACACATAAAGGAAATGAATGATTGAGAAGTCTGATAAATCTCTGACCTGATATTTAAAATTGAGTAAACTGGTCATATATCATCGTGCAAAAATGTGATTTTTTTGCTGATTTGAACACATTATCAAAGATACTCTGGCATATCAATCAAAGTCCTGTTATTCTTGACAGCTGTGTGTGACTTTCATGAAAATGCAATGTGAAATGCTTCAGGGTTCGACCAGTACTTCACTTCAAGGTCGCTGGAAAACAACAGAAGAAACATCTGGTTCGCCGAATTCTGGGAGGACGACTTCAAGTGCAAACTAACTCGCCCCGGCATAAAATACGAGCCCGGTAGAAGGAAATGTACAGGTAATAATTTTACGGTTTAATCTCCAGGGAAGTCACTGGGAATGAAAATTTAAATTTATCTTGTGCTAGTGAGCAGTTTGTCTCCTCATAATGGCCTCGTGTCCCGTTCTTGCTGTCTGCCAGGCGAAGAAAGAATCAGTCAGGACTCTCAGTACGAACAGGAGGGAAAGGTGCAGTTTGTGATTGATGCTGTGTATGCCATGGCCCACGCTTTACACAGCATGCACCTGGACCTCTGTCCTGGCTCCATGGGCGTCTGCGAGAAGATGGACCCGGTAGAAGGACGGATGCTCCTCCAGTACATCCACTCTGTGAACTTCAACGGTGAGCTTTCAACTCTTGTGTTTTTTTTTCCCCCCACCTTTCCCATGTAATGTGTGCTGATTGAGATAAAAGGAGAATTTAATTCCTTTGCTCACACTGAGAGGGAATTGCTGAGCGATAAAAGAATTCTGTAGGCAAAAAAAAAAATCCTTGCTTTCTCGCCGCTCTCTGTCACGGCAGAGGGTTTGAAAAGAAGAAAAGAAGCAAAAAAATTTAAAAGAGAAAACAGCAGAAGGGAGGTCAGCTTGAAGACGGAAGCTTTGAGATGTTTCTGCTAATGTACCTCGCTGCACAACACAGCGCATTTCTTCAAAGCGCGTCCCCTCCCTAGGGCTGCCTCCTTGCTCTTCTCTATACACAACGCTCCCGCTTTTCATCCTCGTCTTTCACAAAAAAGTCACAGTTTGGAAAAAAAAAAAACATGTTCTATGAAAGCATCCTATTTACTGCCTTCCCCTTGCTGGATGACCTTGGTTTGTATGGAAGATTTTTCTGATTGAGCGCCTGCAGGGACCTGAGAGGAACATTCAATCACGTTAGAGCAACAGAGCAGAGTGCACTGAAAGACTGTATGCGTGGAGGAGAGCCTTCACTAAAGAGCATCCTGCACTCAGCTTTCACATGATTGCACAAGACCGAAGTAAGCAGCAACACAAGCTGATTCCAACCGTGTGTGTGGGTGTTCTCTCTCCGCCGCTCGAGATGAGGCTGAATATCTCCAGCTTGAAGACGGCTTGAATTTCTCATGTCTTCTGACTCAGTTTCACTTTTTCTGATGGCGCACAGATCATTAAACCTCTGTTCTCCATCAAACAGGCAGCGCAGGAACCGGAGTGATGTTCAATGAAAACGGAGACGCTCCTGGTCGGTACGACATCTTCCAGTACCAGATGTCCAATGTCAGCAACCCCGGCTACAAGGTCATCGGCCAGTGGACGAACCACCTGCGACTCAATGTAAATATCTTTTGTACAACTTAAAATGAAGAAGCTCAGTTATTGGTTTTCTTGTTGAGAGGTTAAAGAACTCACTAGAGTATTGGAAACAGGGATGGCAAAACTATTCAACACCAGCACGTCTGACTTCCTGGGGTCTTGTCATGACTGTAAAACTGGATTTTCCAATGCTCACCTGCTACAGAATCTAATCATGGAGTGTATTTGGTGAGGGCTCACCTTAAAGGACAGCAATGAAGTATTCTAAGAGGGTAAAAAAAAACAGTAAGGGCCTGATAAATAAATAAAACCCAGTGTTTATCAGAGGGGGAGGGCCACCAGACTTCAACTCGCAGTGATGAGTTTTACAACTACCACCAGTGATGAATCTTCGACCAGAGCAGTAAATGGTTGAAGAGTTACAGCTGATGCATGTATAAATAAAATGTCACCATAATCCAGGGCTGTTGCCTCCATAATTCTACAATGCAGAGGACAATATGACTATTTTTTTCAGTTAAATCATTTCTTAGTTTGAAACAAACAAGGAATGCACTGTTAATTAGTGAGCTTTACACGTGTTAGCTAGTTAGCTTCCCGCCTGTTTCCAGTCTCCGCTAACATGAGCTATTTGTTAACTTCACATTGAACAGAAATGAAAGTGGTGAGAAAGCAAAGTGTATTTGCAAAATGTCAAACTCTTCCTTTGTCAGGTAATTTAAATTTCTATTTCCGACTAGTTTTTCACCATTAGCTGGTTAACTTAGCCTAGCGCAAAGAGTGGCTCCATCCAAAGGTAGCACAACCTGCCCACCAGAAGGTTCAAAGCAAAACTTGGGGTTTAGTGCTTAATTTTTTAGAAATTACAAAAGTGTAAAAATGTCTTTTTGAGGATCTGTTTCTTCAACAGGTGTACTAACTTCCTGGAATTGGCAAGCCTAGACTAGCTGTTTTCTAGTCTTTATGCTAAGCTAGTTTTACCAGCTCTAGCATAGTTAGCGTGAAAGTGGTAATGGGGGAGGAATAAAAAGTCAAAACGGTTCAGTTCCTGATGAATTCAGGATTGTTTCATACTCTTTCTTCTGTTAGATTGTGGTTCTTTGAGTAGGAGTACTTCTTGCCTTTTGCAAAGTCCTAGCCAGTGCTTGCACAGTAAGATGATGTGTGTTTGTGTGCCTCCATCCCAGCCAGAGGAGATGCAGTGGTCGGGCGGCGATCGTCGGATCCCTGATTCGGTGTGCAGTTTCCCCTGCGAGTCCGGCGAGAGGAAAAAGATGGTGAAGGGTGTTCCCTGCTGCTGGCACTGCGAGCTCTGCGATGGCTACCAGTACCTGCTGGATGAGTTCTCCTGTGACATGTGCCCCTTCAACATGAGGCCCTTACCGAACCGCACGGGCTGCCGGGAGACACCCATCATCAAGCTGGAGTGGAGCTCTCCCTGGGCCATCATCCCCGTCTTCCTGGCCATCCTGGGCATCCTGGCCACCACCGGGGTCATCGGCACCTTCGTCCGCTTCAACGACACTCCCATCGTCCGGGCTTCCGGCAGAGAGCTCAGCTACGTGTTGCTGACGGGAATCTTCCTCATCTACCTCATCACCTTCCTCATGATTGCAGAGCCCAGCGTGGCGGTGTGCGCCTTCCGCAGGCTGCTGCTGGGACTCGGCATGTGCATCAGCTACGCCGCCATGCTCACCAAAACCAACCGCATCTACCGCATCTTCGAACAGGGCAAGAAATCAGTCACACCTCCGAAGTTTATCAGCCCCACCTCCCAGCTGATCATCACCTTTATACTCATCTCAGTGCAGGTGAGCTTGTGAATCAGTCACATGAATCAGTCAAATCTTTTGCAGAAGTCTAATACTCCTTTCTCTACAGCTACTCGCGGTGTTCATCTGGTTTGGCGTGATGCCCCCGCACACCATCATCGACTACGAGGAGCAGAAGCCTCCAAACCCTGAGTTTGCCCGGGGCGTGCTCAAGTGTGACATGTCCGACCTCTCCCTCATGCTGTGTCTGAGCTACAGTATCGTACTGATGATCACCTGCACGGTTTACGCCATCAAGAGCAGAGGAGTTCCTGAGACCTTCAACGAGGCCAAACCAATCGGCTTCACCATGTACACCACCTGCATCATCTGGCTGGCCTTCGTACCCATCTTCTTTGGCACGGCGCAGTCGACAGAGAAGGTGGGACATTAAAATTTTACAGTTTGCTGTTGGGCATCAGAGGTTAGTCCAGGGTTTTGCAAATACTCACACATATAACTGATATTTGGAGCTCAGCTAATTATCTGATTAGTCATCTGACCAACACATATTTAGATGGTGGATTGTTTGAATAATTCTTCAAGCAAAATGTCATCTTTTGCTCGTTCCAGCTTCTCCAGTGTGAAGATTTTCAGTTTTTTTCCCTATATATTGTTGTAGATTTGATGTTTGGGGGTATGGAATGACAAAATAGCACGTTTAATCAATTAACTGAGGAAACAATCTGGAGATTAATAGAGAATGAAGATCAAAAGTACACTTGGAGAGTGTAGTCTTTAAAAAACAAAAAAAAACAAAACACCTTTCTCAAAACTTTAAATTAAAGATTTCAAATGTGCACCAAAATTGTATGGGTTCCTCCTTGACCCATGGTCCACCTCCTCATCATGTTTTAATAAAAGTTGGTAGGTTTTATGTAATTTTGCAAACAGACAGACAAACACACTTAAAGCATACCTTGGCTCTGGCCTTGGTATAGAAATGATTGTCAGCTGCAGATGCACTCAAACGTAACAGAATAAATAAATCAGGGATAAGTACTCTGCTACATTTCACTGGAAAATCTTTCCCCACCACATTTATTTGACAGCTTTACTTACTAATCATCCATCCATTATCTATACACCGCTTTATCCTCACTAGGGTCATGGGGGGCTGGAGTCTATCCCAGCTGACTCAGGGTGAAGGCAGGGGACACCTGGACAGGTCACCAGTCTATCACAGGGCTACACTTAGAGACAGACAACCAAGCACACGGGATGATTTAGAATCACCAATTAACCTCAATATGTTTTTGGACCTTGTGGGAGGTCCACAAGGTCCAAACTTTCTGCAAACTCCACACAGAAAGATCCCAGGTGTCCTCACCGGGACGCGAACCAGCAACCTTCCAGCTACGAGGCAACGGTGCTAACCACCGAGCCACCGTGCAGCCCACTGACTAATCAATGAAATTCAACATTTTACATACAAAACATGATGATGCTTTTAAGATATGATATAGACTATGATTATTTTATATACACAACAGTATATAAAGTAGCTCAAATTAGCTTCATTAATAATGATGCAACAATCACACCTTTTCAGTGGCCACTCTGACACCCAGTGAAAACTTTGATTTGTTCATCTTAAACTACATTTTGCTGCTAAACCATCAACTCCAGTAAAATCAGAAATGCAAGACTTTTACTTATGATAGTATTAAAATCAAGCAACTATTCTATTATATTCTATTCTGGATTCTTAGATTTTTTAAATTCTTAATTACTGCCTAAATAATTAGCATATAGCTGTTTGTATTCTTTAAAAAAAAAAAACTAATTTGCATATTTCAGTCAGTAATGAAAAACACACAATAACATAGTACAGAGCCCAAGAAAACAACTCTTGGCAATTTATTTGATCTTACCAGATATTCAAAGATATTCTGTCTAGTTCCACATAAAACAAACAAAAAATTGCAGCAAGTTTCACATTTCTTGTTAAATTATTGTTTTAGCTCTAAGATAAATATAGGATTTGAAATTATCTGTAATATAAAAGTGTCATTGTTGAATAGAATAAGGTGGTTCAATTCAGATTTTGTTTTTTTAATGATTGCAGATAAAATATATTTACAAATTGATAGGTTAAAGTAATTTGTGGCTTTGTTTAAAAAAAACAACAAAATAAACAATTAAGCATCCCGATGTTCATTTCCAAACTTTTGCAGGGCTCTTTACTGTAGATGCTTTATCAGTATGAGTGCAGTAAACAGTGAGGTGAATCAAATTATGCAACACAACAACACACACTAATAGTAAGAGAGTAAATGAATCCCTCAGATGTTCGGAGTGAAATCTGAGTTTGCTGCCTGTCATATCATATTTGCTTCCTGCTGTACTCGCAGGACATCCTGCTTCCACTGTACTGAGAGTTTAATTTAGCTTGTGGGCTATTTTCTGCCGTCACAAAGTACTAGACTGTTGGGGGAATATGTGAAAAATAGAGATAGGCTTTGACTAATAGAGAGTTGCATTATGAGTCAGTCAGGCTGAAACAATTAAAGCCTGAGGTGCTTTCAAAGTCTTTTCACCTCCTCCAAATGGAAATGAAGTGAATTAAGAAAAGACAGGAAGGGAACGAAAGGAGGTCAGATGAGCTGAGGACGATAGGAACCCTTTGTACACCAATTCAGCCATCCCATTCTATTAATCATCATTTAGGAGACAAGCTAAATATAGAAGGTAACTTTTGTCTGGCTCTCAAAAGTAGCGGCCATTATCCACCCATCATGTGTAGGGGCACGTGCAGGAGGAGGCGATCTACCTGTCTGATGACTGTAATTACACAAAGAGGCACCATTCACCGACTCTGAGCCAGTCGATCTGGTCTCGCCTCAGGCCACCTACATAAATACAACCCACTTTACTACTAAATCACCACGACTCCTTATAGAAATGGAGAGGTCACTGAGAGGATCTGGGAGAAAGTCTGCTGTACGGACATCAGCCTGTGTGATAGCAGGATGTGCTGCTGCTGAGGATAGTGTACAATTTATGACTTATTTATGGCACAAATATATCTTATTTATGGCACACATGGCTTTATTTATTCATGACCTGCACAGTTTTCCTGAATAATGATGAGTTCATAATTTATCGGAGGCAGATCTCAGGAGAAGTCACATCTCATTATTATTGTTGGATTTTTGCAATACGATGGGAGCCAGCGAAGAGGAGACATGGTCAAAGACCATAAATAGAGCATCCTTTCCTGACTACATATAGCCGGTCATAAATCATTCATCAGCGGAAAAACACTGTCTCCTGTGCTTTGAGATGAAAATTGTAAAGACTACATTGTGACAGCATATGAGATTACATGCAGTGTGTTTTCTTGAACTTTATCATGATGTAATCAGCCATCAACAGCATATTGATGGAAAAGAACTCTGCAGGAATTAATTGATCATTTGTTAAATGACCGCAGGTGAGTGCATGAGCAGATTTCTCTGACCTCCTGTATCTCCACTGCAGATGTTCATCCAGACCACCACCCTGACGGTGTCCATGAGCCTGAGCGCCACCGTATCCTTGGGCATGCTCTACATCCCCAAAGTCTACGTCATCATCTTCCATCCGGAGCAGAACGTCCAGAAGAGAAAGCGCAGCTTCAAAGCCGTGGTGCAGGCAGCCACCGTGTCCACGCACCTGTCCATGAAGTCTAGCGAAAAACAGAACGGAGAGTCCAAGATCGAGCCGGACAGGTCGCAGTGAAATGACACAAAATGACAAAGTCCACAGTGAGATGGTTGATGATGAGAGAAAAACTTTTGCATTTACTGCTAGTTGTGGGCTGGATTTTATTTATTTTTTCTCCCCTTTAATTGTGGAATGAACATACCAGCAAAGACATTTTGTGGATGACATTTCTTTTCACACTTATTTAGATTACTCTGATCCAGTAAACCTGGAATGAAGCACAAAAGGATTCACCTTTAAAATGGACGACTTTTCACAAGGACTGGGAGTTTTTCTTTTTTTTTTTCTAATGTCCACACGTGCACCTCAAATTGACAAGGAGGTATTGTTAGTTTAAACTCTCCCTGGGAAATGCTGTTTAGGAAAAAAGCAAAACAACAAAAAAAAAAAACCTTAAATGGCGACCTTTGTCCTACAGGAAGATGTACATGTGTGTGGAATCCCTCGGGGTCGATGAGACTGTTCACTGGCTCCAAAAGCACTGCATGGGTTCTGTGTTTTTATGTGTACATGAATGTTCTGAAACATTGTTTGTAAAGGGTGTCGTCTCTTTTTCTTCTGATTGCACTGGAAGAGAGTAGCTTTTTAAAATGCACCACCATGTCCTGTTACCGCCGCTGGAAAGGTATGATGAATCACCAGACTAGTATCACTCATCAGTCAGTGTCCAGTCACTGTTGCAACGCCGCTTTAATTACCGTTATAATTGCAGTTGTTATGGCACGAGCTGGTTTTTCATTGTGGAAATTGAAAATTCATTAGTGCAAACAGGATACAAGTGATTGTGAGCAGGATGTTTATCTTCTACCTGGTACTTTTACTTCTTCACAGTGGAAAACAATGTTTGGCATTTCCCCATATTGTCTGTTAAAATATCAAGCAATCCGCTCGAAGGTCCGTTTTGTATGGCGACGTGCCAAAATAATAGACGAGTTACTTTTATGTTCATGCATGGGAACCTTACAAGAAAGCTTCACCCTATCGGCTTTATGTGATTTTGTGCCATGAAAGGCCCTCTATCATAACAAATTCTGATTATATTAAATGTTAAAAATGAATTTAGGTGATGGCAAAAAGCAGGATGAGTCAACAACAGGCCCTCTTCTGCAAAAAAGACTACTTGCAGTATTATTTTTTTGTCACTTTCTTGAGCTTTTCTTTCTGTACTGGCACAGCCCTTTTTCAATATAAATGGATTCAGAAGTAACCATGTGCAATGCATTTTTACTCACAATGCAGGAGGGCGGCCAGACTCACGCCCTCACGAGAGAAAATGCTGTTTGTACTGCCCTCTGCAGGGCAGCGCAGCTCAGTGACATGACTGTGGATAAATGTCAGGAGGGAATTGTTTGTAGACCCCACACGAACCTTAATAAAAAATACTGTTTATTATTTGAGTTTGGTTACGTTAAACTAAAAAACACCAACATCATATCCACATGTAGGTTAACATAATCTGTTATTTTTCACCCAGTCTCCACATATTAACCTACATATCCACATGTAGGTTAACATGTGGAGACTGATAGAAAAATGACTGATTATTTTTCAGTGTGCAGAGAAGAGATGTGGCTGTGACAATCAATGCCATACTGGGAGCAGCTCAGTCAAAAGGTTTGCAGATAAATCTGTCTCTCACACACATGCACAACTACAAGAGGAGGCTCCAAACCAAAGCCTGGTCAGGACAACAGTCTACACAAACAAGTTCACGTCAACACAAAAGTGAATGTGTGGCAGGTTTGCCGACATCACCAAAAAAAGCCAGTATTTGTTGTCAGGTCGAAGGACAGTTGCTGCTTTTAAAATAAAAGTTCAAGCAGAAAGTCCTGTTAGGTGTTGAGTGGCAGAACAGCTGCCAGGCTGCTCCCTGAGCCAGAACAGCACCAGCAAGCGTCTTCACAGGCAGTATCCTGAACTTTGATTCCAATATTTACTCGAGGAAGCCGTCCAGAGTCAGACAAGTTGAAATCTTGGGTGGAGGCCTGGTCACCTTTTTCCTTTTAGCTTTCATCAGCGGGCGAATCTCTGATAAAGGAGACTGGAGCGGAGCGTTTGGTTAAGGAATAATGCCGTCCAGTTCCTACTGAAGGTTTTGTCCTAAATATTTGCTGAAGCACTTTGGTTTATTTCATAACTCTGTTCAGACACACAGAAATAACATTCATTTGGAGCTTAACAGCTCAGTTTTGACCTTTAATAGAGCTGTTAGTAGAGCGTTACTCTAACTAAACTTGAATAAGTCCTCCTGAAGGTTTAGAACAAAAGTGAAAAATTAATTAAGATTAAGCCGTAATATTATTTAATTGCATTTCTTAAAATACATTTTGTTAATGGCCATGTTAATGATTCATATTTAAGGCTTGAATGCCTTCTCTTATGGGGGTAAAAAAACAGCGTGATTTCAGTTACCAGTAAAGAGGCAAGTAATTATAAAGAAGATGTATTTAAAATGCTCAAATACCTCGCTGGTAAACCTTTAAAGTAGAATCTATGCCTCCTCCTTCATTGAAAATCCATGAAAAACAAGTATATTCATTTAAAAATGTAAACTATTGGATGCAAGCTACTGAACTGAAACTCTATTCTTAGTGTTTGTGCAGTTTAGACTTCAGGTTTCCACATCACACTTCCATTTTCAGCAGAAAAAATAGAATAATAGAGTAGTGAAAGTCTGAACATAAACCCTTTCTTCATAGAGAAGCTCAAACATCCAGGAGAAGGAACACAGACTGCATCCCAAACGACAGAAGAAAGGATACAGGTTGAATGAATTTAGTTCGTCCTCCTAATCCATCATAACCAGTTCTGACCTGAAACAAACAAAAAAAGTTCTTTCAAACAAAACAGTCAAGGAACAAACAGCACATTGAAGCAGAAGACTCTGAAGGAAGTGGTTGTGTTGTACGTACAACTCCAGACTTCCTCTGAGGGTCCAACATGCTGCCGAAAGTCTTCTTTCTAAAGAGGAGGGAGTTCCTCAAGAAAGGATCCATGACTGAATCTTCATCTCGTGCCTGACACACCAGAAAACATGTCAGCGAAACGTTGACCCCGTTTAGTAATGGTTATTGTAGAGTGACTATTAAAAACTTACCTTGCTCGAAGATGAGGTTTTTTCATTGTGTTTGGACGCAGATGTTCTGAAAAACAAACCATTTTACAGCATTTTCACTTAAACTGACCCAACACATGGCTCTGAGTTACAACAAGTAAACACACATCTCCACACTGAGCAGCATGAAACTTACACAGGTGGCTCCAGACGCATCTTCTTCGATGGGACCTGCTTCGGTCTCTTGGCCGCATCGTCTGGGGTAGTGATGTCATAGGTCATGTTGAGGTCAATGTCCTCGCTGTCTGCCGGCTGGTGGAGGCGAGGCTGCTTCAGCTCCAGAGGGGCCGGGCTGACAGGTAGGCAGAGACAAGTCATCAGTAAAATACCTATAACAAGTGTTTTTATGAGAGTCATGTCAGAGTGTGAGGGGGTTCAAGTCCAGCGGCTGGTTGACACACCTTTCAAATACGAGCCGACTGAGGGCTTCGTTCGTCCGTGTCGGCGTGCTCAAAGTCTTCTGAAGAAACTCCACCTTCTTCTTTAGACTCTGTGGACAAGATAAATGCAGAGATCACAACAGCGGACTCCTCCGATACCAAAAGTAAAAGCATATTTGTTTCATTTTCCTCACAGAGATTTCTTTGTCAGCACTGGCCAAATCTTTCTGCAGAGACTTCATGTCATCTTTGGTCTGATTCACCTCCACTGCAGCTTTTTGTAACTAAAATGACACGCACACAAAAGAAAAAAAAAAAAAATTATGGCTTAAAAACTTCACATCACAGAACCAATTCCTCTGAGTGTGATGACTTATTAAATTCAAGTTACCTTGTTGTTGGAAGACAGCACTTCTCTCTTCAGCTTCTCACACATGTCATTTGAAGACTTCAGGCTTCCCTTTAGATTATCATACTCTCTGAAAATAAGGAAGGAGATTAATAGTGATGGAAAGTTGAATTCATTCGGGCTGAGCTCAAAATTAACCCTTCCACCACAGTACTTCATATGGATGTAGTTCTTCTAAGTGTACCCCCAGAAGGCTTTGAGGGAAGAGCTAAAATCTAATTGCTACAAATACATATTACAGCGAGGTGGTTCAAACCTGGATGCAAAGTTTGGAGCTGTACTAGACGGAGAAAGCTCCAAAAAGTCTAGATTTATAAAAAGATATAACCTGAGAATGGCTTATTGCAAAGCAGTTATGATCTCCACAAATGAAGTTATCATTAGTTTGTTCTTAGCAGGATTATGCAAAAACTATCAAGCTGATTTTCATGAAACTTGGTGGAGAGGTGGAGGGCAGGCAAACAAAGAACATACTCGATTTTTATCTGGTTTGGAAAGAGAATGTCCATATCATACAAGAGTGAAATATTGGCTTTGGCAGAGGTCTGCGCTCCCCAAATGCCCTTCTAGTTTCTTCTATGCCTGTATGATGCCAACAATCACTGACAACAACAGGAGTTTGCTCATGGAGCCAACAAGCTGTATAAAAATGAAACCAAAATTCCTCAGCAGCAGTTAATGAAAGAAATATACAAAGCCCTGGCTACATACAGAGAAAAGTGATAAATTTGAAACTAACCAAACTGATACTGTTGGCCCTCTCTGCATTTATTAAGAAACTGGGGGTGACTTGCCATACCACAAGCATTCAGTGGGTGCCACAGCAAGCATAAGAAAAACAGAGTAAATTTTAATTCATTGTGCACTAATTTCATTTCAGCTCAGTGTGAGAGTTTCTACAGATGTTTAGCAGTCGTCCTTTTTTTCCCTTCTTCGCTCCAACATTTTAGAATGATGTGGAAATGGACTGGAGCAGCACAGACACATGAGGAGCGTAAGAGAAACGCATCAAGTGAAAAATAACGTTACACCAGTTGACAACAACTTGTTTCATCTATTCAATGTATTTTACAATGCTGGCATGGACTAATGGTTGCGGCTGGATTTTTTTTAAATGGGTCTCAAATACAGAACCTTGCTGGTTGCAAATGAAGAGAGGGAGGACGGGTGGTAGTCTGAGGTTCTCTACCAAAATCCAGTGGTTCTGAAAGTTGTAAACCTTTAAACTTAACGTAAAGAAAAAAACCAAAATGATCTGACATGACCAACACCGCTCAGGCTTCTTACTTTTTGAGAGAGATGCAGTAGATAGAGAGCTGCTCCACCGCTGCCTGGCTGACACCCATATCTGTGATCATGGACTCCACCTCTGCTCTCTGGCCCTGTAACAGCACATCCAGGCTGGGGACAAAACAGCAGCATTAGTGCACAACCTGAGCATGACACTCTTTTATATTGAAGGAAGGCACAGGATCATACAGAGCCTGCAGACATTTTGATTAAAAAATCCCTATTGTCACAAAGAACAAAATACTGGGAATTTTGATGCATGCTATTGATGTAAAAACATGTAAATGACAGGTTTGCACTTCTAGTTGATTCCTCCCAGACGAAATGCAAATATGTAATAGCTCGTAGACATAACATGACCATCTAAAACACCCTATCTAGAAGTTTAAATATGACGGTGTATAGTACACTGTGGGTACCTTTCATAAGTTTTCATTCTGGTCCTGAGTCTTCGTGCCTCCTCCTTGGCAGCCTGAACATCATTCTGTTGCATCTCTAAGTATGACATCTGTTTCTGTAAGTGATCAAAAACATTATATAAGATATACAGCTATGATCTGAGTGGGTGTAAATACAGGGTATAAACAATGGAAAACCTACTCGCAGGGCACAACACAGCATCTCCTTTTCCATAATCTCTTTCCGCACACTATCCAGGTCTCTCCTCTGCTTGTCCACAGTGTCCTTTAAACTGTCCATCACCTTCTGTTTGTCCCGCCAGTCTTGCTCTACAAATCAGTCAGGCAGAGGATCAACTACCACAGCCGACCTTTCACAATCAAGCATTACCGTATCACATCACACTCGGGTTTCTTACCTTTAGAGCTTAGAACTGCCTTCATTCGGCCCAGCTCATTCTGACGGAGGGCGAAAGACGCAGTGAGAACAAAAGCTATGATGCTCGAAATTAAATTCAAACAACTTAATGGCAAGAATGACCATATGTTGGCGTTTAGGCATGAAGAGTTACAAATCTCATCACTGACTCATCTGGGCTCAAACTATTTCTCACATAAAACATCAAAACCATCAAGTTAGGTGCTGTAAGTCTGGTACCTGCAAGCTGTCCGGGTCCGCACTGGCCTCCTCCTCTCCACCAACGTCAAAGAACAGCCTGTTGATAATGTGCCTGGTGCTGACCTACACACAGAGCACAATAATAAGCCATTACACTTTAATCTTTCCTCTATTTGGCAAGTTGGCTCCATCTGGGCTGGTATAATGGTGGTATTTGGAAGCATACCTGTTTACGACATTGTGGACAGGTTTTAGTGGGGGCTGTCTGAAACCACTGAAGAAGACTGAGAGAGAGGAGAAAGAAAAAACAGTCAGTTGCGTTATTAACTCCAGGATATTGTTAGGATTTGACTTTTTAATTATATCAAGCTACCATTCATAGTGGAAAGTGTGTCCGCAGTGGATGGCAGCCACATCTCTGGAGTGATCGAAGAAATCGGAGCAAATTGTACAATATGCTCGGATAGGCATCTTACTGACATAGAGATCCCCCTGTCATGGCAGTAGAAAACGGCATTAGAGAAAACTGCTTCTTATTGTAAGTGAGAATATTTGTTATTCTGTGCTTGTTACGTTGCATAACAAATAAACGTTGGTGAGACTTCAGTGGTCCAGTCACGCTCGACAGCTAGCTAAATGTTGACGTTAGCCTTAAATTCAGTCGACCTACTCACCCAACACCGATGTTAAGTTACTGCACAGCTCTTCGAAATAAAGTCAAGCATCCCTAATCGTATCTGGAATGTGTCATTTTAACCCAGCTCAGGTGAAACTGTGAGACGCAACCTCGCTAGCTAACACAAACACAAAGCTTCCTCCATGGCGGCTCCGTTTCCCCGCTGTACGTTCAAACGAAGTCCCGCCCCCTGACGGTGCGTTCACTGCTCCTCGTATTCCTGGTAACCGATCTGTCAGTTGAGCAAACCGTTTATTATGCATTCAAAATGAGCTCACGTTGTATCCTAACACGAATCAAACTAGAAACCAGAGCCCATAATAAAAAAAATAATACAATTAGAACCCCATAATCACAAATTGAAAGTTGTTCTCGTCATTCTTTTTTTTGGACTCCACTCATGTTACAGGCCACAAATGCATCAAGGGTTTTCTTTCATAATTATCTCACAGAACATTCACAGAGCAAAGAGAATCGTTGTTCCTCGTTAGCAGTTCTTAATTAATTCCCGCGAGACTAAATCAAGAGATAATAAATCGTGTTCTCCATTGAACATCTTCATAAGTAACGGACAGCGTGTGTGATGTCCGACGTGCTATGAATGCACCGTAAAGATAAAATAAAAGTAAAATAACTAAATAAATAAATTACATACTTTAACATGCAACACAGAGCTGCCAGACTGGTTTTTTACATGCTTCAAGATTAACTGTTTTAAAAATTGTGATCACACTCCAAAGAAAGTCTCCGAAAGACAACTTCATATCCCACAATCCCTACTTCCGCAACTCAGCAGGGCATGTAGCAAGAAGAAGAACTTGTGTCTGCTCTCTGCTAGTTTGTTAGCTGCGGCAACAGTGACAGACGAGTTGTGGAGCTCAACTCTCACATGCAGACAGCTGCGGACATGAAAGGTAACACGCTGGAAATAATTTAACGAGTCTTGAGGGCTCTTTGTGAGAACGAAGGCGGTGAAACCCGGCTAGCTTTGGCTGTTGTTGATTTTCTGCTAAAGTTAGCATTCAAAGTAGCCCCTTGAAGTTGTGCCCCAGCAGATCTGACGTCTCTCTGGGAAGTGAAGGCTGGTAAACAAGAGGAGAGCTGTGACTTATGTAAAGAATGAGAGTGAATGTTATTTTCTCCCCAGACTCTTGTTTTGTTTTCCTCTGTAGCTTCACACCAGCCACTGCTTGTACTAAGAAGAGTGACATTCAGCTACAGCTGCCAAGTTTCTTTAAGGAATACAAAGTCAGACCATAAAATTTTCATGCACAGCTCACCAGTGGCCTTGTCAAAACAGTAGCACACCACAAACAGCTTGTTCTTCTGTCCTAGCCTCAGTCACGAAGCTGTTGACCTTTGTTCTCATAGTCTTGTCTGTCCATCTGTCCTGTCAGGTGTGTGTTCCTGCCATAAACAGCAGTGATGGATGGAGAACCCCAAAGGGCGACCGCCTCGTGGGAAAATGGTTTGCTGCCTCCAGTGGACCGCCTTCGATTGGACAGGGCAGAAAGTCCCACGCCAGGTCTGGTGGAAGGGACAGAACCAGGTGAGCTTTGCCCGCTTTCAGCCCGCTGTGTCATCTCAGTTCAGTTTCATTTATATATATCTCAAGGCACCTGAAAAAACCACAGAGAGAAACCCAACAAATTCAAAGATTCCATTTGAGCAGCACTTAGCAACGGGGGGAAGAAAAAAAAACAACAACTTCCCTTTAACAGGAAGAAACCTGCAGCAGAACCAGGATCAAGGAAGGTAGTCATCTTCCTTGGCTGGTTTGGGTAAATCGATAGAGACAATCAATGCATAAGACAATAGGAAGCACGGGGGAGGTTGCTCCACAGCCTGCAGGGAGGACAAAACACAAACTATGGAAGGGAAAAGACACAAAGTTAGTGACATGCAATGGTGGCATATAAATGCATGAAGAGAGAAATAGAGGAGAGATGCTCAGTATGTCATTGGAAGGCCTATAGCGGCATTATGAACATCCTTAACTGGAAGCAGAAAGAAAAGTTTTAAGCAGAATCTTAAAAGAAGAAAGGATGACTACCTCCTGAACCCATACTGGGAGCTGTTTTCTCAGTAGAGGAGCCTGATAGCTTGAAGGATCTTTACTGCTGTCAGTAAGCAGTCAAATTACATTTTGCATACATCTACTTTAAATATATGATTTTTTTGGTGGTTTTTCACTTTGCATGTTCTTCTCACTTTAAGATAATGCCTTCTGCTGCAGCAAAAAACAACTCCTACATCAGTGGGATTTTCCCATTTCAAAGACTGCAGGACATTCTGCATGTCTTGAGGCTTGGATAAGTGGATTAAAGAACTTTTGCATGAATACATTTTTTTATTCATGCCATCTTGTGGCCCGTCCCTCATGGGATCATTTTGCAAAACATCCAAAACATTTTCAGTACACGTGTGCAAGGTTTACAGTTCACCAGAGAAAGCTTTCAGTCAAGCATCAGTCCGTGGATGAAATTCCAACGGAAAAATCTGTTTGCTTCTGCCTGCAATAATACTGATTTCAATGGGTATATAGTTGTACTATGATAAAAACGTGCTTAAAAAGCACGAATACTTCTCTGTAACTTCCGTCATGATAGAGGAGCGTGCCATGAGTAAGACTTCCTTCTGCTGACTGGTGGTTTCTAGGCAACGGCTAAGCAGAAAAACCAGAGTGACTTGTTTGGATCGTGTGAATAAACTACTTTAAAGTAAAAACTTCTCTATTTTATGCTGTTATAAACGTGCAGCGCATCAAGGGGTGGACTCGTACTGAACACTGTGAGACAGCATGAACATGCACATCCTGTCTGCGGAACCAAAGGGCAAAGTGCTTGTGATATATGTGCAAAACTGAACTTCGCTAGTAAAGAAGGAGCACCTGCAATAATAATGTCTGACGTTTATGTGATAAACACATTACTGCACTTGGAATATCGCACCATACTGACATTATCTGGAGACATTATACTGCAACAATAATAAGACAAACTTTTCTTGACTGAAGTCTGGAAAACATATTTGTCAGAGTGTTTCACACTGACATCATGTCTGCAGCAGCTCACGTCTGTCACATCACATTCTGCTTGAACAAATCCAACACTTGACAGGAAAAATGATGTAACATTGTCTGGATTTGGTCTTCCCAAACTGGGGATAAACAGGACATTTTTGCAGTATTATCCTGCTGACTCATTATCAGATGCGTTCCATTTTTTCCCCTCTAAATTAAATAAGCTTTGACGAGAGGTCGTTAATTTCCCTCACTGTGGCTGCTCTGAAAAGTGGTAAACTAGTTTAGAACAATGGTTGTTTTTGTTTCTAAATGAAATGTTCAGTAATAGATCAAATCAAACATCTGCTATTTAGACTTTATTTAGAACTGGGAGTATCACCATTCAGTGTTTCAAAGGCAGTTTTTCTTTTTTTTCAGTAATATTACAAGATCCTGTCTTTCAAACAGACATAAAATATGATGCATCTGACAGTTAATCTCAACATTTGCCAGATTTTTCAGACACCGTATCTGTCCAACACCAACCCTATTTGAGACTGTCTCATCTACAACAAAGGAGACAGTCCTGGATAAAACATTTAGGGAGGGACTTGTGCTCTTCAGCACATGTGGGGGAATAAATGAGACATACATTTGCCAACTCGTTAGCCTTCATCACTGCAGTCTTTTCTCTTGTAAAAGCAATAAGTACTACTTCAACACACTTAGACGCTCTGTAAGGAATAAATCTTACCTTCCCCATGCTTGTCAAAATTTGTCTTTAAGGATGCAAAGTAGATGCAGCATTTTTGTCAAGAGAAAATACTTCAAGGTTGACGACTAAGTGGTTGGTTTGGCAAATGTACTTTTGGTTAACCGCTGCACCTCCATTAGAGAGCAGTGCACAGCTGCTTCACTGAGCTTTTGTTTGGGAGCCGTCCGGGAATGTCTCCTTTTCACGGGATGAACAAGGCCAGGGTAACACATACAAAACAGCTAAAAAAAAACTCCAACAAGACTTTGTTTTGTGGCACATTTATGCCTTATAGTGACAAACATCTGGCATGATTTGTCCCCACGTTGATGCAGGTGCTGGTCAGAAGAGTGCCATGTTCGTCCATGCACAGTCCTTCGAGGATCTGACTGCTGCGGCTGAGGAAGAGGCCCAGAGGGCAGCTGAACTTGGCGAATCAGCAGGACAGTGTGCAGAGGAGCTCAAGGTGCTGGCTGGGAAGAAAGCCACTGAGGAGCAACACAACAACGACTTTTCATCAGAGAGGACCAAGGAGGAGGACGTGTCCAGTGAGGCCTGGCGGAGTCACAGAAAACACGTGTTTGTGCTGAGCGAGGCTGGAAAGCCGATCTACACTCGCTACGGCACGGAGGAGGCCCTGTCCAGCACCATGGGGGTGATGATGGCCCTCGTGTCTTTTGTAGAGGCTGAGAAGAACATCATCCGCTCCATCCATGCAGGTCAGAATAAACTGCAGTATTAACAGTTCATAAGGTAATCATGTGTGCTTTACAAGTCTATGTAACTTCTGCTAACGTGTCTGTATCAGATGGCTGTAAGGTGGTTTTCCTCACCAAGAGTCCTCTGGTCCTGGTGGGCGTTTCCCGGACCTGCCAGTCAGACAAGGAGCTGCTGCGAGAGCTGCAGTACATCTACTACCAGATCGTCAGCCTGCTCACCCTCACCCAGCTCAACCACATCTTCCAGCACAAGCAGAACTACGACCTGCGCCGCTTGCTGGCCGGCTCCGAGTATCTCACAGACAACCTGCTGCACCGTCTGGACCGAGACCCCGGCCTGCTGCTCAGCGCCGTCACCTGCCTGCCTGTTGCCAGCTCCTCCAGAGACGTAGTGTCATCTAGCCTGCAGGCCGCCAAAGCCAAAAACCTGGTGTTCTCCATCCTGCTGGCCGGCGACCGCCTGGTGACCCTGATCAGAAAAAAGGACCAGTTCCTGCACCACATAGACTTGCACCTAGTCTTCAACCTCGTCGGCTCCTCCTCGTCCTTCCGAGAGGGTGAAGGCTGGACGCCGATCTGTCTGCCAAAGTTCAACACTGCAGGATTTTTCCACGCTCACATTTCTTATCTGGAGCCTGCGTCCGAGCTCTGCCTCATCCTGGTCTCAACTGACAGAGAGGACTTTTTTAACATGTCCGACTGCAAGAAACGCTTCCTGGAGAGGCTGAGTAAACGCAGCGCCTACCAGGCTCTGAAGGAGGCACTTAAAAATCCCAGCTACTCTGTGGAGCAGGTCGGCATCCCAGAACTGAGGCACTTCCTGTACAAATCAAAGAGCTCTGGGCTGTACACCAGGTGGGTAACTGCATCTGGTAAAATGTTGTGGGAGTTGAGAGAAAGTTATTTAAAAAGTTGAAGTCAATATTCAGAGTGGTTGGTGAATAGTTTTCATTTCATCATTTCCACTCAGTAATTAACGTTGCTGCTTTTTCAACTAAGAGAATGAGGATTAGTTTGCAGGCATTTTAGAACTCAAGATACTTAAATAATACATGTTCAGTACGATGTTTCTTTTTGGACGTTCTTTTCCCTGATGAGTGCAAAACCTTGTTTGTGCAAACCGTCTTTCTCCAGTCCAGAGTTTCCGGAGGTGTACCAGTCTGACGAAGAGCAGGAACGACTGATGGGCTTGTACCAGGACCTTCACAGCTGCTTGCACCATCCAACCAGACCTCTCCGCACCTTCTACCGCTGCAGTGAAAGTGAAAACCTGATGGCATGGGTAAGTCTGGCCTTGTGAGAAACACCACAGCAGAATTTCATTTTTTTCAAGCATTGGAACTCAAAACATTCTACACCTCAATATCTCAGACGGCAAATGACAGGAAAACATCAAATTAAGTTGCGCATCATGCAGTAAGATCGTCAGAGCATCACAACATCACATCTTAATCACTGACTTTTATCAGTGTTAGATTCTAAAAATGAAATGTTTATTATTTAGAATCTGCAATGTTCATTTCCTCAATAGTATTCAAGCTTTGTTTTTATTTTTTTTTTTATTTTTATTAATGAATGAATTTATATATATATATATTTTAAGCTAACAAAAACACAACAATTCATAGTTACAGGTTTATATGCTGGTATAAACAAAGATTCTGGGACTGCTGCCCTCTGAAAATCAGTCCAAAGTATCAATTCGAGTCAAGCCTTTGTTAATCCTGGTGACAACATGCGCTGGGTTTGTGGTGAGCGAATAAGAGAAGCTGAAACCTGAGGTGAAGTGACACTCCTGCTACCTACCAAGCGTTTACCGTAGAGTTGTAGGTAACCTGTGTTATGTAGGTCCAGTGTGGCTTTACTGTGTAAAAGAAGAAACCAGCATAGAGCCACAGCTACGTTGAAGTGCATGAAGACAGGCCTGATCACTGTGTCACTGTTGTCAAACATGAAGTGTCTAGACAGGCCTAAGTTTGTGTAAAAGCAATTCATCCATAAATGTTATGAACCATGTTCGCTACTCCGAAAGAAGGAAGTAAAAGCCCAGTTCATTCAACTTCATCTTTCTAGCCCCTTTCAGACGTTGCACTCTGTTCTGTTAATCTGATGGCAACTGTCTGCTTCACCTTGCTCACTCTGTAAAAGCTGCACCGGCACTCTTACTAGGTTGGACCCAAATACTATTTTGGTATCACTTTAAGCATGACACAAGTGTGAACTACATGCAGTCACATTAACAGATAGACATGCACAAGAAACAGTACTTGGAGACATGTGAAGTGATTTAGGGAAGGAATTTTTTGCATTTTAGCACTAATATTCATCCAAAGACATCACAGAGAAGCTTATTACACAGTGCATGTGCTAAATCACAGCATACCTTTCAATCACTTTGCCATCCAGTTTTAAATCTATTCCACTCCAAACTGACATAAAAGAAAAAAATTCTGCGATTAAAAGAAACACTAACTGCTTAAGTTAATGATTTTTGCCAATAATAAATGTAATCTGGACTTTTTTTCCCCACAAGATGTCACCAGGACCTAATATTGCTTGATGAAGTTTTTCCTCTGTGTTTATTAAATACCTGCAGCAGGATCCACATGTGTGTCCCTCAAATACTCATAATTATAAATTATCCCCAACACAAAGAGCGATCAGTCTGTCCAGGGATCCAACGAGCTGAACGAGAATCACAGTTTGTTGCTTCCAGCTGGGTTTTAAATACCTGCAGCATCAAACGACAGCTGGATCCATATGAGCGTCTCCAAAATGAGAGAGTTGTGCACATTTCTGCACGGAGCAGTAACTTCATTATAATTATAGATTATGACGTGTATCACTCGGGTGCTTTGGCTCTCTCTCCAACACTGTGGTGGGTTTGTCTGAATAAGGCTGTGAGGAACAGTAATGTCATAGTGACTTATGCCTGAATGGCAGAACGCCTTCACTTTAATGGATTGAAGAAACGACGATGTTGCCGATTCCACATCTGAAAAGGGCTTCTGTCTCCACCTCATTACTGCAGAGCTGGTGCGGATAGTAAAGGTTACCAGCTAATGAGCCAGTATAGAGTAAAGACTCTTTGCTTAAAACTGGAGTTCTCTCTACTGAAACACAAACACTTACTAGGCTGCAACACACAGACTGCAGTCAAAAGAAAATATTGTTTTGCCTTATTGCAACAAAATAAGCAGTTATTTTGTAATCCTACTCACAAGGTTATTAGTGCACGCAAACAAATGCTGCATCACAGATTCAGGGATCGCTGGTGTGGGCTTCTGAAGAAGCACTGAGGCTTGTTGGAGGTAGATGTATTCTGAGGACTGAGCAAGTGAATTACAGTTTTGGGACAGCCAAAGCCAAAGGAATGCTACTTCACACAGCCTTTTTCGTGCCACTTACCTCCTTCTACCTTTTCTCCTTTAGGTGACAAGCGGCTTCGAGCTCTACCTCTGCTTCAGTCCGCTGGCGACCAAGGCCTTGGCGGTTTCTGCTGTCAACAAACTGCTGAAGTGGATCAGGAAGGAGGAGGATCGCCTCTTCATCCTGAGTCCTCTCACATACTGAGCCCTCTGCTGCCGGCTGACCTCCTGAATCAAAAAGCGACGCCCTGAACGCTGACTGTCCTGGTGCTAGCAGACGATGAAACAGCAGTCACGTCAGCGTTCATGAATGATTGTCTGAGCTGCACATTTCTTGCTTTTGGAATAATAATCTAATTTAACTGTCAGATTTGTGATGATGTAGGCTGTACTGCTGTAAGCGCTATTTTAACTAACTAGATTTTTATAACTTTTAATTTGAATAACAGCAGACGGAGGCAGCATCAGCACAAAAACATGTGGCGTTTGCATGCTGTTGACGCTCTGTCATTAAAGATTGTTTCAGTGTAACACAGCTTTTATGCCTTATGTCGGTCTTTTTAATGCTATGAGCTTAGCTCTTAAAAATCAAGAATCAAACTGGATTAGAAAAACTGGAAATTCCTCAAGAGCTGCACTAGAATGTATTCTGTTCTTGCTGGCAAAACACGAGCTAACCACATTCCACTTGTGTTTTCTTTTTATATGATGACCAATAACTGTAAGAACCATTGCCATTTTACCTCTATGCACTTTCTTTATGCAAAGGCCACTCCAAGAGAGAGACTGGATTCTGTTTGCTGCTGTTAAATGTTGACATGTATTGTTAATGTCAGTATAAAGGAATGGAAATGCAAGTCCATTAATCTTCCAGGGTCCATTAACATTTTCCTTTTGTGTTCACTTTACCGTAGTTTTCGTGTTAATAGCAACAAAAAGAGAGAAATGTTTCTGCTTGTGTCTCATTATGACGGTTCTTAGTATCATGGGATCCTGCTTTGCTTATTAAATCCAGTGTTGCCAATCTTCCTCCACTAATCATTCCTTTGCTAATAGTCATTGTGCAAAGCCAACGATGAGATTTATGGCCGCCGCACAGTTGCACAATTGTTATGCATAAATAAAGACTGTCTCAAAGATTCTGTGTCCTCCTTGATTCTAATACGGTAGCAGTGTTGTCGTGCCAAAAACTAACTGTGCTCTTGATGTTAACGCTGTAATTTGCAGTTTATGTACATCTACAGCTGCTGTTATCTGGATGGGACAGTCAAAAGATGCAAATAAACAGAAGTTGTGTGGCAAAAGTGTGTCTTTTTGAAACAATTTGTTTGACCTGATTGAAGAATAAAAGAATATTTGCAGTTTAAATTGTAATCAGGCCAGACACTAAGGATGATTACAAGTAATACTAAAGCTGACGTATTTGGGCTGTATGAGTTTGGTTTGTCGAATATACTTGTTTAGACTTTAATTAACATGATTAGCAAATGGATTCATTTTTAAAATAAATGATCTTTTCCCCCTATATTATTTCAAACATAAACCCCCCCAGGAATAAAAAAAAAAAACAAGTAATTCTAATGCATTAATGACATTTCAGCCACAGTGTACGAGCTGCAGAACTGAGAACTGCTCCTGTAAAGCTGTTTCAACAGGTAAAAAAACAACTGGATTGGTTTGAGTTTACGGTACATAGCAGATGCATGAGGATCCTCTTCTTTATGGCACCACACCTGCTTTACCAGGAGCTTCAGACATGCTGCTGTGTTGCCTAAACAGTAGGTGAGCTGTACACTTGGAGCAGGATAAATATAGCAGCAGGAGCCCTGATGCTCAGAAACAGGGTCACCTCTAAGATATAAGAAGGAAAACAGCCATGTGTATATAAAAAAATAGCTCTGTAAATAAATGATCACCATCAGTTTATGGTATCCTGGAGGTGCGTAAACTCACGCAATGTGGGTTAATTGGCTGTGTGCTGCTGTGAGGCGGTGGAGGGGAGGAGCGAGCTGAGGCGCGCAGCACCGACTCAGACTGGGAGTTAAAGTTAAATCCGAAAGCAACATTTTACATGTCCCAGCGCATTGGTGAGGACAGACAGGCTTTAAACTTTCGTCAGAAGTTGAGATAATCGCGTAATCTTGAATCCACCGGGAGCAGAGATCCATCATCTGCGCGCTGTTTCTCCAGTGAGACCAGGAGCAAGAGCTGACAGCTTCCCTGAAGAGGACTACTAACTTAAACCTGCACAGGTAAGCTTTCATCCACAATCACAGCAAAGATATTTAGGAAAGAAAAGAGAAAGGAACTCGTCATCCATCCATCTATTCTACCCGTTTGATCCATTAGAGGGTCAGAGCTTCTCCCAGCTGACTGTGGTGAGAGGCAGGTACACAATAGACAGGGCCATTACAAACATGCTGTCACTGTTTACCATAAAATCATAAAAGAGGATATTAAAAAGGAAAAAAACACAACATTTTATTAAAACTTACAGGCTGTGGTGAAGCTGTGCAGCAGTTTGTGCTGACATGCTGTGTGACCACTTACAGCCCTCAATGTGTTAATTCAAATCAAGTTTGTTCATACAGCACATTTAAAACAACCTGAGCTGATCACAGTGTTGAACATGTTGTCAGACACTCAGTGGCAAAGCAAGACGGGAAAAAGACTTGTAACATCAATTTATAAAACAAAACGGCGGAGCAACTTGCAAGAAATACAATAATGACAAAATACCAAAATGTGAAGACCACTAAGAACAAAGCTTTACAAACTTGTACTTCCTGAGATCTGAGATTTCTCCGGAGCGCTGCATCATTTGAGCGGGAATTCCCAGTGTCATATATTCAAATTATAATCTGAGAGTGACACAATTAACAATTAGAATTAGATTTATGTGTAATCCATAACACAGACTGACCATAATGGTTCCTATAGACTTGCAGAGCAAGGTGTTGCCCCGTCTAATCTTTCAGGTTTTGTTGTGCAGCTGCTGGAATCAAATGACAGCTTCCATATGGACTGGAGCCAATGTGCACTGGCTCTGCTCCGGTGAAGTTAAGGCTTGCTGTCAGGATAAGAAAACAACAGCACAAATGTGAAAATAAGATTAAACAAAACACGTTACTGAAAAGATTAAAACCACAGGCCGAACATGATGCTGCTTCTGTGATTGCTTTGCGTCTTCAGTCGTGCTGCATTTAGATTAATTTCTGGTTGTTTTAAAAAATAAAGTCTAAGAATAAATCCCTTTCAAAATGCAGACGTCAATACAGGAGGGTTCTGGTGCTTCTGCACGGGGTTGGAATGCATTTCCTGCCATTGAATCAATGTGTCCCCGGGGTACAATATGTTTTGACTATTGATTGTCTGCACAGCAGCTCACCTCTGCTAGTCCCTCAGGATGTACTGATTAATGAAAGAGAGAAGCTCTGTCGTCTTCTCGTTTCAGGCTCTAATTAAGGGCTGCCAAAGTGCTGGTGAGCAAGGCACCGATCTAATGCAGCAGTTGTATTTAGTGGTCAGCAGTGCATTGAATCCCTCTCACAGTCAGTCCACAGGTCATATTTGTAAGAGAACCATTGCAGTGAGGGGATACACTCAAACCTTCATGCTGGCCTGTAAATAGCACAATGAACGGAAACTCAATTTCAACCATCTGCTTTATTAACCATGAACATGAAGAAAGTCAATCAGTGCCATTACTATGTACGCCCATGTCCTCAACGCTTAACCTCAGTTTCACATGGAGCGCCAGACGTTAAACTGTAACAGCACATCAGTGACATTCCATGAATTATTTATTCAAAGACAGTCAAGCTTTTTCCATACGGCTGCTTCTAGCAAGACCAAGTGTTGTTTTCTTGAAATATATTTGGTCAAACTGAAGTTTTCCTCCTATTAAATAAAAATAGTCGGAGCTGATTACATTCTCAGACATGAGCAAGCGATCGGCTTCTTCTTCACCTGGGAATTTAAAAGGTACATGCCGTCTCATGACCATCAGTCCGTGCACATCTTTCCCCCTGAAAGGCACGTAGTGGTTGTGACAGGAATGCAAAGTAGAGAGGCCAGGGTTCTTGAATACAGCCCGACTGGGATGTGTCTGGTTAATGATCCACCCAACAACGTCTGTTCATGATGAAGACAAGGCTCGCAGTTTGAAACACGCTCAGCTGGTTGTTGTGCAGAGATTGATCGGGATGAGCTTTTAGATTTGCAAAATTTGGTGGATTTAAGTTGAGCAAAGGTCATTAACTTGACTTGTTACCACCGGCTCTCTTGCATAAAACATGACTCATTTTGAGATTTCAGCTTTGCATTAGCCAGAATAAACATGACCTGACAGATGTGAATGACCCGTGCAGGAAGTCACAATAATAATTCTTGTATTCACGTCTTACTCTGCTGAGCGCTACGAACACAGCTCGCTGTCTGATTGTCTAAACATTTCCTCTCAGTGTTCGTGGTGAGTCAGAGGAAGCTTTTATCTAATGACCATTTATGCTTTTATGGTCAGACGCAACCAAGATGATGATGTTTGTCACCTCAGATCTATTAGGACTCAGTGCAGATCATAATTAAGTAGTGACAGATTGATTTTCACTTACTTTAGTAACAAATAATGCACACACATAGTTAGAACCATTTCAATAGAAGAATACTGATGATTTTAAAGTTTTCCAGCAGATTTCAAAAAGCTCAAAATTAATCAAGAACTGCTTCCACAATAACCCCTAATACACTAATAGCAAGATCAAGGTTCGCTTTTGTTGAAACATGGTCATTTAAACTAAATAATTTCCTTTTGGAAGAATGTTAGATGCATTAAAAATAAATAAATAAATAAATAAATCTAATCTGAGGAGCTTTACTTAAAGGAATAGTTTGGCATTTTGGGAAATATTCCAATGTGGTTTCTTGCCCAGAGTTGGATGAGAAAAACTTAAATAACCCTCGTACCTGTCCATTCAGTATGACGTTGGTTGTAGCTCACAAACATAGACTGACATGGTATATTTTGTTCGTTTAATCTGTACAAAAACAGTAGAAAATACAATTTGCAGCTTCACAGAAGGTTCTTTGCCTGGAAGTTTCTAAACCTGAAGCAGTGATCTCCTGGATTTTATGTTTGATGCCTTGTAACTTCAAGATCATGACAAGAAGTCATGGCTTCAGGGGCTGGTGGTGGATTTTATGCACTTTGTACAAAGCCAAGCTGGCCAGGTCTTTCCTCTGTGTTAAGCTAAGCTAACCCTCTCCTGGCTAAAGCTTCATACGAGACACATGTGGCATCTTGTCGTTCAAATCTCAGCGAGTAACCGTCTTTCCACAAATGTCAGTTTCAGATATATTTGCGTCGTAGATCATTGTTTGTGAATTATTTAAAGAGTCTGTTTCTTTTCTACAGGTGTCAGTGGCTGGTGTTAAGGATGTTTTTGCCCCGACATCAGACCTGGAGGTAACCCCACGTCATCTGTGCTGTTGCCCCTCCTGCACCCCGGAGTGGAGATGGTCCACTGGACCACACAGTGGGGGACATGTGTCTGGCTCCAGACTCTGCTAGCCTTCGCTTTGGCCAACTGCCCCTCACTGGCCCCAAGCCCCGTCAACTTCTCCGTGGTGTACACCATGCCCTTCTTCCAGGCCCGGGGCCCCATCCAGAACATAGTCAACAACTCCTTTTACCAGGAAGTGTACGTGGCGTCTCAGAATGTGATCGAAGCTGTGAACAGGAGCTTGGAGAAGGTGTGGGAGCTGCACACTGGACCAGTGGGAAGCCCAGAGTGTCAGATATGCGATTTGTGCGACATTGATAAGGATCAAGACTTTCTAGAGGACACAAACAATCAGGTGTTGCTGTTGGATACTCTCTTTATGTATTTATATTCCTGTGGAAGTTCTCAGTATGGTGTGTGCTATTTCCACCAGCTGAACCCAGATGGAGAGCCGCCTTCTCTTTCTAAGTGTTTGTTCAGAAGGGATTCAAACTCTGCTGCGTACTGTCCCGACTGTGTAGCGAGTCCTCTTGGTACCAAAGTCACCATGGTGGAGGAGGGTCAGACTGTCTACTTCTTTGTTGCTACCACTGTCAATGACAGCGTGACCCAGCGTTACGGCAGGAAGTCGATATCAGTTCGCCGACCGCTGGCCACAGAAGACGGCTTCTACAATGATGTGCGTGGCCTGACTGTCCTCCCCGGCCTGCGGAGGACGTACCACATTGAATACGTGTACAGCTTTTTCACTCAGGAGTTTGTCTACTTCCTCTCGGTGCAGAGAGAGAGCCCCGACCTGGACTCGTCCCCGTTTCAGACTCGTCTGGGACGCCTCCCGCGGAATGAATGGGAGATGAAGAGGTATCGTGAAGTGATCCTGGAGTGTCGCTTTGAGCCGAAACGCAGGAGGAGGAACGTTGCCAGCGAACCCTATAAGGATGTTGTGTACAATGTGGTCCAGGCCGCCCACTTTGGCAGGGCGGGCCGGGAGCTGGCAGAGGAGCTGGGGGCGGAGGAGGAGGACGACATCCTCTACGGGGTGTTCGCTGTCACCGATGACAACGGGGTCACGGAGCACGACTCGGCCCTGTGCGCCTTCCCCATGGACAATGTGAACAAAGCAATCGTGGACGGGGTGGACGATTGCTGCGAGTCTGGACCCGAGCAGCTCTCCAGAGGCCTCTGCCATTTCCAGCCTTGTGAGAGCTGTCCACATGAGGTGAGCCATCAGTCCACCAACACACACCTACTGGTTAATATGACGTTTCATTAAACAGAAAGACTCCCAGTGAGGGCTGCAAGGTGGCGCAGTTGGTAGCACTGTTGCCTCGCAGCAAGAAGGTCGCCGGTTCGCGTCTCGGTGGGGACACCGGGATCTTTCTGCATGGAGTTTGCATGTTCTCCCCGTGCAGCGTGGGTTCTCTCCGGGTTCTCCAGCTTCCTCCCACACAGTCCAAAAACATGTTGAGGTTAATTGGTGATTCTAAATTGTCCGTAGGTGTGAATGTGAGTGTGCTTGGTTGTCTGTCTCTAAGTGTAGCCCTGTGATAGACTGGTGACCTGTCCAGGGTGTCCCCTGCCTTCACCCTAAGTCGGCTGGGATAGACTCCAGCCCCCCACGACCCTAGTGAGGATTAAGCGGTGTATAGATAATAGATGGATGGATGGACTCCCAGGGACATTTTTTTTTTCAAGATGGAGCCAGGCAGGTAAATAAAAAGGTACATTAAGTTAGATAAGTTGCACTCCCAACAACACACCACTCATTTTCACATTTGGAGCTCACTCAAACATCTAGCGCATTGTCGAGCATCCATTCATGTGGATAACTATGGTAAAAATCTTAGCATGTGGGTGTGGAGCTTTAAAGTATGTGAGGCATCTTTTCCCTTTGCAAGTGTGAAAATGCTGTAAAGAAAGTCAACAAACTCAGGTTACAGAGATGTACTGTGGCTGGATGGAGTCAGATTATCATTTGATTGTACATGAAGAAGGGATAGTCATATTTTAATAAGTAATAAATATGCTGCTCATGGTATAACATGAATCCAACTAAACTTGTAGGATATCGATCTGTCTTGTTAGGGAGCTTAAGGGATTGTTAATTGCCCCCCACCAGTGGGTTAATAATTTTGTTTTCCACTGCTCAATCACTGATGTACACTGTGTACATTACTGAGAACAAAATGATATAAGAATGAAGTGTTCCCTTAAGTTTTTCAAGCAGCGTAAGTACAATGGATGTACGGCTCCTGGCCAAAACATTTTGACGATAGCGTAGGATTTGTTTTGTTTCCTTTTTGGACAAGCTAGATATTAGGTTAAAAACACAAGTTTATGCAACCACATAAACTCCTTAACAAAGTGATGCTTCACTCAGGTTCCTGGCAGCAGCAGCATCACTGTGCAGAAGACAGAACCAAACATGACTCATGAAATTAATCACAGACAAAATGTGGGAAGATTTTATCACAGCACGGTGTTATCTCCAGCTGCACGAAGTCATTCTGTGACTCTGTTTTCCACAATAGATAAATCTGTCTGCGGTTTATTATGTAAGATAAAAGTGACCGCACTGTTATTGGAAATATAAATGAAACTTAACTGACCTCGAGAGTTTATTCAAGCTTTACGATTAATACATAAAAATTCATTCATTCTCATCCTTCATACATGCATTGTGTATTCCTCCATAAGTCGAGCTATAACTTAAAAGAGGTGAAGGGGTGGGGAAGTTTTAGAAGCGATGAGAAGAGCTGAACTCATGGAAGCGTAAATGCAAAAAACTAAAAACGTATTAGTAGTTAAACTAAATGGGTTTTTTTACTGGCTAGTGTTGATTTTTAGAGAGCACAGCAGCGAGTGGTCGATACATAATGCAGGTTTTCATGTTGTACACTCCACTAAAGCATGAATCAGCAGATAACAACATCTCCTACTGCTGGTCTGGTAATTATATGGCTGTCTGACATTGTAGTTAGCATATTCTACACACACACACACTGTGCTGTGTTAATTTCCAGTTGTCACATGCTCTTCTTAAACACCTGTCCCCTGTTGATTTTAACACAAACCTAATGTGGTATTTCAAGTCTGCAGACATTTTTTATTTACCAGCCTTGTGAACCCGTCAGCGATGATTATGTCAAAATGGCATTTAACCAGCTAATTCATTAAAACACTTGACCTTTTTTTTTTTCTTCCTCCCTTCTTTAACCATAAATGATGAGTTCAAAACTCTCATCTTCATTATGTGTCAGATCTTCTACATGACATAGATATGAAAAGGACACCTCTTAGGGTTTCTGTGGGGTAACATTAAGGCCATTTGTGTCTGAGGAATGCGAGCCGAACCAGTCGCATTAGCAGTCAGTGTGCGCTCGCTGTTGCATCCGAGACGAAACAAGGGATACAAATTGCTTTTTGGATGGAAAAATAAATATGGAAAAAGTCATCATTATTCAGAAGGAACTGGCGGAATGAGAACTGGATGGAGGCCAGGTGGGAGTGAGGCGGGTTGTCACTTGTTTTCTGCAGCTGTTGAGTGTGTTTCTCAAGGCAGCCAGGAAAAGGGTTCCTTTAAAAAGTTAATCAAAAAAAAAAGAAGCTTTGCGTCATCCCAGCCTGGCGTCGCTTTATTATTTTTCCTTTTCAGGCCATGTGTCTGCATTTAGGCATATGTTTTTATATGATATTATCGCATTGGTTTCTTGTTGTTTCTCATGGGAAAAAATGCTGGTTTATTTCCAGATTACATGCATATTTCCCATAATATTCTGTTATTGTGTGTTCAATTAGACGCTGCTGGCTTTTGGGGTGAAGGTTCGGGGATTGTGGTACGACTTTTTTATTCCTTATTTGCTCAAAGTAAGTTCTACCCAGTTTGAGAACTCAATAAAGTTCCCAGGACTGAGCTGCTGTGTTCTCATGTGCAGGTACGTTTCCATACTCCGGATATTGAGTCAGTAAGAAAATCGATTGGAAATACTGTGGAGCTGAATAGGGTGAATAATTAAAGCTGTTTTTTTTTATATTTCAGCTGGTAACAGTTTGGGACAAAGTCTTTTCATAAAGTTTTGGGGGAACACAGGCTACTTTGGGTGTTAGTTTGCCTTCAGAGGAACGCTCTCCTCTCTTGGACTCGTGAACTCTTCTCCTCAGGCATCTTCTGCTGCTTTTGGCTGCTGGTCTGAATGTTGAGTAACCTGCCAGCGGGACTGTCCAACACTCTGAAATCCTGCTTCTTCTATCCCTCAGCAGATCAAAACACCTACGCTGCCAAAAACATCATGCGTACCTCTCAAATAGTGTGCTGTTCTGATTTTTGGTGTGTAATTATGTAGAAGATCAGTCGATTAAATAATATAAGTTTTTTTAAATGATATTAAACAGGCTAAAATCCATACTGACATATTTTCACTGAAGTTGTCGTTCACACTTGACCCTAATATTTTTGAAGTGTTAAATGTTGTTATTAGTATTTTGGCCTTTTATCTTTCAGACATTTCCTTCACTAGGTTGATTAAGTGCAGTATCTGTCCTTAATCTTTCGAAACAACGAAGTGTTTTAATTGGGTGTCAGCTGGAACTGAGGTTTAGTGTTACGGAAACCAATTTACATCCAAGGTATTATGGTCCTCCTCTGGGATTTGGGAGTGAATGACTTCAGTCAATAGCGATGCTGTTTGTGGTCTTTTCTTTAGCTCTAAGCTCACATCATGAGACTGGACGTGGACGATGCAAGACATCCAATGTGTATTTAGGGCCCACTTCATTTGGAAAATGCCAATACACTGGGAAAATATATAAATTTTTAGTTTTATATCTTGGCTTCAGAGATGCAATCCACTGTTTCCTTGAACACTCCCTTTACTCAAACAGAGATCCACCCTGCTGTGTCTGTAGCTACAGGGCAATCCTTGTGTCAGTAACGCAGCATATAATCATCCATCACAGCCTCTTATATTATGAAATAATCATATTATCGTGACACGCCTCTGGTGCGCCTGGGACTTTGTTTCTCGTTGTCACTGTGGTGACCAGTGCCTGGGCTTGTCTTACGACGCGTGCACATTTCCGGAAGTTCAAACATTTTCCTAGAATATGGAGCTCTGCAGGGCATGTAAATGAACTCCAGTCATAACTTAGACTATGTGGAAACAAGTGGGAGGGACTCAAGATTACATGCTCTCACTGTTTGAGTGGGTGGATTCTATTGTTGTCAGCGTAAAAAAAGCCTTTATACTAGAGCTGCATAATACTGGGAACAACATTGCGGTATTTTGTTCTTCTGGGATATATGTTGCGGTTTGAAAAAACACTCTTTGGAATGAATTAATCATCGTTGAATGACTGACGTGATCTGGTACATCTGTGTCAACAATCAAAAATCTATTTTAGAAGCTTTTTTAAATTTGGAAACTCTCTCATATGATGTATCAGGCAAAGAAATCTTGTCGCTTTAGATGTCATACAAGTCTGGGTTTGCACGCTTCTCACAGAGCTCTGTGGTGATAATGGTCAAACTAATTACGCATAGTGCCTCATGTGGTGGCAACAAGGGCAAGACACTGCTGACAGAGCACCTGTTCTCGGTCAACATCAGCATTTCTGTAGCCGAAATGAAATATTTTTATTGTGCTTCTTTATGCAAGCAAATCTTCCAAATGTTTCTCGCCGTTTCTCTCTTCATTTTGCTGCGTTGCTGCGAGGTTTCTTTTTATAATCAAGCAGCTAAAAAAGTTGCAGCATGATGTGTTTGAATTATTTTGCCTCACTTCACTTTCTGTTGCACACATTGCAAAGTGGATGCTAAAGAGATATAATGCGCGTCCCTGCTGTATATAAATGAAGATTTTTCAATTTTCACTTTTCCGGCTACCAAACCACTTAAACCATGAATCTAACTGATTCGTCAAAACTCAGCCTGCACTTAGTAGCCTTAAACCTTCATCGCCCGGCCTTCAGCAGCAGATGGAGTTTGTCTACTCAGCTGTCATGAAGATGGATTTGCTCCGTGTTGGCTAATAAGTTAAGCTCGTCCTGGAAATAGTAATTGCAAAAAAAGAAAAAAAAGTGACTCAAGGTCTTCTTACTTGCATTTTTCTGCAATTAAACTCCATGAATACTGAGCAAACTATGTCCATGTTAAAAAAAAAAGGCCAACAAATGGACCTGATGTTTGGATTGTTTCGTCTTTAACCAGATCTTGAGTTTATGACTTTTACATCAACATCGCCTCAGTTAAAATGTGTAATAACAGTAGCGTAAATTAGACTGACGCTGCCTCACGTTCTTCCTCTTTGTTCTCTCTCTGTGTCCTCTGCTGCCTGTGGCCTTGCTGCTAGAGCATGGAGAACAACGCCACATGCAGAGACCATCCCACCATGGTGTCCAAGCCCTACTACAGAGTTGACCTCTTCAACAGGCAGATGACAGACGTGCTGCTCACCTCTCTGCTGGTCACAACCATAGAGAACAAGACCGTCGCCCATATCGGCACCTCGACTGGACGTCTGCTTCAGGTATACAGCAAAAAAAAACAGACTTATTCATACTTTTTGACTTCACCTCCTACAGTCTGCTACTAATCATTTGTTGTGCAATTTCGGCAGCTTGTACTGACAAGATCCAGCCCGGTTATCTTTGCCAATTACTCCTTGGTAGAGAACCAGAGAGTTTCCTCCATCGCTGCAGTGTGCTCTTCGGAGTATCTTCTTTTTGTGGTTGGAGACAAGGTACAGTCCGTCGTATCCGTACAGTGAATCTAAATTATATATGTGAATCTTTTAGCTGGTCGTGAACTTTCCTCCCACTGTTTAAAGACAGGCAGGTGAGGTTACATTACAATTACAAATGAGTTGGAGAACGTGACAGATTGTCTGTCTGCGACCCTGTGATGCTCTAGAGACCTGCCTCGGCGTATTCCTGCCATCACAGTGGGACACAGTGTGACCTCAGTGACCCTGAGAATGAATTAGTGGCTAAAAAAAATCGATAGACTTGATAGGACTGTGTATTCTGGGTCGGGGTGGACACTAGAGGCTGATAGTGGATAATCACATGGGTCTCTTGGTGCTCCGGTGGGATGGCGGGACTGCTACCCTGGGAAATTAAGCTGCCTTGGACTCAGCAAGTTCATAATCTTCTAATGTCTCTGGTTAGGATAGGCTACAGTCAAGTGTCTCGAGATTGGTAGATTTTTTTTTATGATATTGCTGTGGAGTGTGAACTAAAGGTATGAGACATGTTTAATTCAAATTAAATAGTTAAGTTGCTATTAGTCTGGTGTGGTTTGCAGACTTAACTTCAGCACTAGGAGCTGTCCAGGTGACCTTTTAAAGAGCCTGGTGCTGAATGAGGCCCAGTATCAGTTTACTTGTCCGTCTGCATGAAAGAAATCAATTATTAAGTGGTAAATTAGGATCACGGATGGATGGATGGATGGATAGATGCTCAGAGGAACATCCCTCACCTCTGAGATGCTCTCATATTCTTCACATCCTGCATGCATGTAATCAACTATATAATCTGCTTAACTTGAACTACAAGAAATCATTTACAACAGATGTAGGCCTTTTTGCCATGTCAGAGTAACATTAGTAAAGGGACAGGAGGAACATTTCTCATGCCATCTGCCTAGAATCACATTCATGAGATGAAGCAAGTGACAATGTGGGATTTAACTTTTGAAGAGCTGTTATTTCTCAATGTCAGATGATTCAGGTGCCTCAGAGAGGACCAGGATGCCAACATTTCATGACCTGCGCCATGTGCCTGACGGCGCCAAAGTTCATGGGCTGCGGCTGGTGCTCCGGAGTGTGCTCGTGGGAGAGCGAGTGTCACAGCCGCTGGAGGAACGAGTCCTGCCCGCCCGGGATCACTGGGGTGAGGTTCGGTCTGCAATCCAGGACGCGGAGATTTGTTTGTGCAACTAATACAAATGTTCAGTTTCAAGGTGGTGCTGTATATCTGCTTCATTGACGCAGTTCTTTCCACGGACTGCTCCTCCTGATGGTCAAACAGAGCTGACGGTGTGTGGATGGGAGTTCCAGTCGCCCATAAGACCCGCTATCACCTCCAGGACCCATCAGATCCGACTGGGACAGACGGCCTGCACTGTGCTTTCAGCCAAAAGCAACAACACGCAGTGAGTCACTTTTAGGACTCCATCTGAAGCACAATCTGCTCACACTATAAGCATTTTGTGGAAAATCCAACCCAAAGTTTTTCTAGTGCTGTAAGAAGGAAATTAAACTCTTGAAATATCTTTCCAAAGAATCCTTCTGAGAAAATGAGAGAACACATTTGCTGCACTGTGATCTCACTCATTGATGTTACTGATAGTGGAACTCTTCCTCAAACATCAGTGCAAAATACTGACTCTAAACTTTATAGGATTTATAAACACCACAATTTGTTGTGTGTGCAACGCTTTGAGCTAGAAGCTAACGCTCATGTATGCATGTTGACATTCCCATACATGACCATAAAAATGCTAACGTGATGATGTTTGACCAACTTGACCATCACAGTTTGTTTGTTAGCATTCTAACATTTGAAAAAACTAATTCCATAAAGTCAGTTACAAGCAGTGGATTGATTCAACTTGAAAGCAGCAGCAGCAGCAAAGGTAACCCCCCCTGAAATAAATGGAAATTTTTGTCTCCCGCTGCTGTCCAACAGTCTTAATCCACCATGAAATTAAATTGTCACTGGTGTAGCAGGAACTGTATTTGCTGCAGACATGCTGACACAAGTATTTTCTTGTGCTGCACTATAGCCTCGTGTGTAAGATTCGCTCTGGGGCCACTGAGCTGTCCAAACCAGTCAACATTACAGTGGAAGTCCACGAGGGCAAGGTGGAGGGGCGCTACTCTATTGACGGGAAGGCCGAAATGCCAGGGTTCACATTCGTGGTAATATTTAGCTATTTTTGGTGCTCGTTACCTCATCACAACCTGAAAATATTTTATTTTAGCCACTTAGAAAATGTTTTTCCAAATGTGTTTGCTTTACTAAAATAATGAGAAACTGTCCGCTCCAGATTCCCAACATCACAGAAATCCAGCCCAACTACGGGCCTCGAGCCGGGGGGACGCTCATCACAGTGACTGGGCCTCACTTGAATGCTGGAAAGACCAGGAAAGTCACTCTTAATGATGTGCCCTGCCCTATAAAGAGGTCTGGAAATACATTTCTTTATCACTTTACATCACACTTTACCTCAGTTGTTTGCATACAGCTCTACGTAGCTGCCCTACTTTCTAGAGATATTTGGAAGATGAGAAGCTGCTCACGATGTTTTTATTGCCAAGACCTGTTAAGCAAACCTGTTCCAACTTGTTTTTAGAATAAGTGCGGTTTCACAAACGTCTTGCTAAGGAGTAGAAGACTGACTCACCACTAAACTATTTTCTCCTGTAAATCCCATGATCATGTAAAATACATTTTTAGGAATAAAGCCTTTTGATTTGCTGCAGTTTGTCTGGTTTGTAATTTACCTCCGTCTCTCTGCAGAGTCACAAAACCCAAAGGCAACGTGTCTTCTATCATCTGTCTGTCCCAGCCCATCTCAGAGGTGAGGGATGTTCCTCTGAGTGTTTTCATCGACAAGTCTCCTGTCCTCACTACAAAGGTGTTTTACTACAAAGAAAACCCCAAGATTACAGCTGTTCTTCCTGACTGTAGCTTTGACAGGTAGGCAGTGAAGACCTCAGCACAAACAGCTGTTATGTGTGTTACTGTATCCTGAAAATCAATTTATTTTATCAAGATAAAGTAAATAAAATGAGAAAATATTATTTAAAGTGCACTTTTTTGTTAAGTTTAGCGTGTGCTGTAATGCGTCTCTTTGTGTTTGAACTGTAGGGGTTCAAAGATCGTGATTGAAGGAGAGAACTTGGATTCTGTTTATCGCACCATCATCCGCTTTAAACCCAATGAGAGCCACCTGAAACCAGTCACAAGGGTACAGTGTTCGTCATCATTTTTTTTTTTACACATTTGGAGGATTACTTGATTTCCCTTCAGGGTGACAAGTTCATGTTGTTCCTGTATGGAACAGTCATTAAAGTGTTACTACGCTGTTTTCTTCCAGGAGTGCATAGGCAAGTCCTTGCCCACAAGGATGGAATGTGTCACTCCTGTGTTTCACAGGGATGAGACGGAGGAAGGAGAGCTTTCGTTTGACATGGACGGATCACTGGGTCTTTGGAACAAAGAGTTCTCCTATCACCCCTACGGTGAGCCCATACCGTTTGAAACAGAGGGACACGTGCTAAGTTTGTACCCCGGCTTTGATGAAGTGTCACTACATGTAAGTTGTGAGGTTCTTTGCATTTGAATTACTTCAAAAAAATCAACGTGGGTTCATTACAGATTGTCTCATAAATTGATTTGATCCCTCTGTTCACAGCATCAAAAGCTGAACCTGGTGAGCTCCTGTATGACCATTGTTATGAAGGTGGCAGGCGTTGATTGTGATGCTAAAGTCCTGGATAACGAGATAACCTGCAGGATCCCCAAAAACATGACCATTCCCAGCGACGGACTGCCAGTGAAGGTTGGTTAGGCTGAATGTTAACATGATAATTTAGCGTTATTCAACATGCAACGCGGGCCCCGGGTCATGTTGCATGGGCCGCATGTCTGGGAAGTGATTCCTGTGCTTTTTGGAGCAAACTTGTCATTTAGCCACAAGAGATGACAGAGACGTGAATACTGTCCTATATTTTGACATAAATTTGTCAAGACATTTTGCCAGATTGATACTGGCTTTATCCTGTAGTGGGTCAAAGGGGGCTTGAACCTATTCCAGCTGACACTGAGTGAGATGCCAGTCACCAGGCCTTCAGGGGTTAACACAAAGAGACAATAAGTAAGAGACAACCATGCACGCTTAGTTTCACCAGCTAACCTACGATGCATGTCATGGGTAGGAAGCCAGAGCATCTGGAAAATGCAAACTCTACTCAGAAAGGCTCCAGCTGATCAACCGGTTCCAACTCGGAGCTGTGGGCCAGCAGTGATACCCATTGCACCACTGTAATGGAACATATTCTAAAATAAATGCTACATTTTCTTTTTCTATACATAAAAACAGGACAATCTGGACCTTTAGCATGTCTGCTTAATTAGCTAGATAATTCATGCAAGCCTTCCAAGTTTGTAGTACTTGGGAAATATGCTTACATGAATTCTTGCCTTGAGCAAAATAAGAAAAACACCATAACTTTTACTTTTGCATGATAATTAGGAAATCATCTCTGAAGTTTACCTGGATTAGGACCTGGGGACAAGCCTTAAGGAAGCTAAAAAACCAGTCAAAGAACAATATGCCATTGTCCGTGTGGCACAGAATCTGTGTTAATTAGTAAACTTTATTGGTGCTATTGAGTGGATTCAAGGCAAACTGTCTTCCCCTGTTTCCAGCAATATATACTGTATATGTATATATATAAGATCAACATAACCTCCTAGTCTGAAAGTGAAACCAATGCAAAAGCAAACATTTACTAAGGAGCTTATGGTCTCAATCACTATTTTCAAGCTTCCTTTAACACAGTGTGATGTTCATTTTGTAAATTATCATACTTTTAGAGTAAAATGGATGATAAAGTTGGGTATGCACTCAGGTGGGTCTGATTGAGAACTTGTGGACACTACACAGGTCAACGTGGTAGCAACAAGGTAGATCCACCCGTCACTCGTCACGACTGGTTTCTGATTTTCAAAAAACAAAGATGATATTGTCCAAATTCCAAACTTGAGGCTTCAGAACAGTAGTCCACAAACGAATGAATGATGTCATGGTGGCTACGTCCATCTTTTATACACAGTCTATGATCTCCAGTGTTTGCGCTAAGCAAAGGTAAACAACTACTGGACGTATCTTCATATTTAGTTTCATAACATAAAGCTGAAATTCCTCTGAAAGTGTTTGTCAAAACTACTTACCTTTTAACCTCATTTGTAGCAAACCATTCACCAATGCAAGATTGAGGAAAGCAGCTGTGACTGTAATTAGAAGATTTGAGTCATTTAACACAAATAAACATTTAAACTACTCCTTCAGTTTGTACAGTACAGTTAAGCTCATGACTCGGGATTCAAAGCTTTAAAGCTAATCATATGTGACAGACAATGCAGCCAGTCGGGTGTGAACAGTTTGAAACTTATGAATGTATGCTTTCCCAGAACTTAAGAAAAAAAAAAAACGATCTGAAATGATAGCTCTGCAAAGATAAAAGATTCATTATGTGGTGGACTCTGTTCTCCAGATCTCCATCAACGGGCAGGTCCACAACGTTGGCACAGTGGTGAGAGTCAGCAACCACTACATGGTGGGAATTGTTCTGGGTATCCTGGCGGCTCTGGTTGCCGGGGCGGTGCTGGCCTTTGTTGTCATGAAACACTTGAGGAAGAAGAAGAAGGGTGAGCGCCTCTCTGTTGCGTGGACCTTGATCAGACCTGTTTATGCAACTGCTGCCGGATGTGGGAGGGAATTTTGGATGAACTGTGCAAGTCTTTCAACTAGAACAGCTCAAGTTCTGTGTAAGATGTACAGTTCTTCTTTTGGGGTTGATGATTAAAAAAGCGTTGTGAAATTGTTTTTGCAGCTTCCATGGTAGAGACGCGTTTGACCCACAGTGCAAACCGCTCTGGTACAAACAATGTGGAGCTGTCGCCTATTGGAGACTACAGAAGAGGTGACTGTCTATTTAAGCACACATTTAATACTCTCCTCCTTAATGTTGTTTAATGATAATTTCCTTGTGGCACTAACACCTTCGTAACCCTCCTTAATGACCCCCTCTGTCTCTCTCTCTATCTGGACTTTCACCAGTAGTATCCCTGAGTCCTCCCACCCCTTTGGTGGGGCCGGTGGTGTTCCCCAGCATGGCCTATGCTGCAGGCAGCATAGATCCAACCCTCACTCCCCTCATGCCTGCAGAGAAGATCTCCATCTCCAGTTTTAGGCCAGAGCTGCTGGAGGAGGTGAAGGATGTCCTTATTCCTGCTGAGATGCTTGTTGTGCAGCACCATCGGATCATAGGGAAGGGTAGGAAAACGCCTTTGTCTGCATCTTAATGAATAAAAATGTGCTATGGAGCCTAAGCTATATTGTATTTTGGGAGATCAGTAACAATTCTTTTGCTTGTCTGTTTTTTTTTTCCCCTACAGGCCATTTTGGAACTGTCTATCATGGCTACTTCACAGACCCCAACAACAGAGAAATCCACTGTGCCGTCAAGTCTTTGAATAGTTGAGTAATGTCTGCTTCTTGAGCGTTGATCGTAGGGAGCCATCAGAAGGTCTCTGCTGTGGAACAGATTGCCAGAGTATCAGTGTAGCTCCTCAAAATTGCAATTTCACTGCCCATTTTAAATAATCTTTACGTGTGTGTGTCATCAGGAATAACAGATGTCGAGGAGGTGGAGCAGTTTCTGAAGGAAGGCATCATAATGAAGGGTTTCCACCACAGCAACGTGTTGTCTCTGCTGGGCATCCTACTGCCACAGGAGGGGCTCCCTCTAGTGGTGCTGCCGTACATGAAACACGGGGACCTGAGGCACTTCATACGCTGCGAGAAGAGGGTGTGACAGCCGCGTTAAAACAGATTCCGATTCAGATTTGTTTTATTGTCATTGTAACGTACAACGAAAAGTATGGTGCAGTCCTTTCAGTGCAAAAAACAAAAATATAAAATCTTTGTAAAGCAACTTTGTAACACACTATGTACAATATGAAAGAAATATATATATATATAAAAACAAACAAAAAAAGAACTCTATATACAAAGATGAAATTAAATAATGAGCACAGTGTATCTTGCACAGAGTGGAAAACAGTGGAAATTCATCACCTGATTTATTTAAAACCATCTGTTACCTACAATCTGTTAACTGTTGAATATTTAAATTTGTTTTAATGCAGTGTTTCTGCCATGTGTCTGTGGGATTTGTTTAGAACCCCACTGTAAAGGACCTGATTGGCTTCGGGCTGCAGGTTGCCAAGGGGATGGAATATTTGGCTCAGAAGAAGTTTGTGCACCGAGATCTCGCTGCACGCAATTGCATGTGAGGACTAAAATATCATTTGAAATCAACAACTTATTCGCTGCAATTTTGCATGATTTTTGATTAAGTTTAGATAGATGTTTCACTGCACTAATGTGGTTGACCTCGTCTTACTTTTTCTGCCTGTAGGCTGGACGAGTCGTACACGGTGAAGGTGGCAGACTTCGGCATGGCCAGAGATGTTTTCGATAAAGAGTATTACAGTGTTCAAGACCACAGGAAGGCCAAACTGCCTGTCAAGTGGATGGCCATCGAGAGTCTGCAAACACAGAAGTTCACCTCCAAGTCAGATGTGGTGCGCATATGAATATTTAGAACAGCATAACAATTGACACAGCAATGAATTAGGAAGTTTTTGGTTGTGTGGTTAAATGTATAATGTCTTAGTCCTGCAGGTAACAACATTCAAGATCTAAACAGTATTATACTCTGGTTCTACTACATTGTTTGAATTCAAAGAGATATCCACAAGTATAATTTCCTTGCTTAATTTGAGAAATAGTTTGAAGCTTACTGGTGCTTTTGGTCAAACTTTTTCTCTCCTCATACAGTGGTCCTTTGGAGTTCTGATGTGGGAGATGCTGACCAGAGGAGCCAGCCCGTACCCAGAAGTGGACCCATATGACATAACACATTACTTAATGAAGGGCAGGAGGCTTCCCCAGCCACAGTACTGCCCTGACCCTTTGTAAGTAGCAGAAATCATAGCATTATATAACCACCATTGTCGATTCAAATAAGAAGTTTTGGTAAGTGATGGTATTGTTTAGTGAACATGTATCAGTTGTATAACTTGGCATAATTAAGGATTGTTTTAGTATGTCTAATAATAATACTTTGGAAAGAGTAGTAAGGATTTACAGTTACAAGATGAAAGAGAAAAGAATCTGGCACCAAGTCCAAATAGCAATCACAAGATGTCCAGGTGGTCACTCAGTAGCAGCAAATGTGTAAATTGTCCACTACTCTGTATTCCAAGATGGTTAAGCAATGCCATTTTGGAGTTAATGTGTACAGTGATTCTTTGAAACACACGCTTCACTTTTGCTGTTTTAATGATAAATCTCTTGGACAGTAAGCTTTTGCTCACCAACTTAAAGGATGATGGAAAATAAATCAACCATTCATACGGCCTTGTCACACATCCAACGTTGGCTTGGGCTCATGGAAAAGTGTCACCCGGGCACCCATGACGCCTAGGACATGAGAAGAAAAATTACACATTGTGGGAAAGATGCTAGTTGCTGTCTTGGTGAAAGTTTGAAGAGAAGGTCGATAACACTGATATGTCTGTCTATTAAATGTCTTGAGGTCTTCAGTGGTTGCCAGCCAACTGGTCCCATGTTAGAGGTGATGGTGGACTTTGTTACCAGGAACAGGCTGTTTCTGTCTCTAGTCTTTATACTGAGATAACTGCTGGCTTCAGATAAATATTTGCTATACAGAATGCAAATAATCATATCTCTAAGTATACCTATGACTGGCTGATTTTCAGGACCTAATCTGTACATGCCACAGAATCTTCAGAATAGAAATATTCAGGCACTACATGTGAGTGGTATAGAGCTTTTAACATCCATTAGCCTCACATGAATAGATGCCTGCTATGTGGATGTTATCATAGATTATTTTCATGCTAACCAGTGATACAGTTGACTGATATGACCATTCCATTCTCGCTCAGTCAGACTACACGTATGTTTTTCCAGGTATAGCATTATGCTCCAGTGCTGGGACCCCGATCCAGAGTTGAGGCCCAGTTTTGCTACACTGGTGTCGGCCGTCTCCACCATCTTATCAGGCCTGGAGGGAGAACACTACATCAGCCTTAACGTCACCTACGTCAACCTGGACCAACCGCGACCCTACCCCGCTCTCACAGAGTCCGCTGATGAGTACGACTCTACAGATGTTGAAGACTCAGGATCAATATCCTCCTGATCCAACCTCTCCTACTCTCTCAACCGTAAACTGGTATTGGTGCTAACAGCAAAAGCACACACAAAAAAACCTCTGCCGTGTCACACCAGTGTCTTTTACCTCAAAGGATATGAAACAGAGTTACTGCCTACTGTTTGAGTGCATTAAAATGATGGTGGGAAGCTTTCAGCTGGAATAGCCAAGAGGGTCGAACTAGACCTCACGTCTGGGGGGGTCACAAGGTCTATGAGCCAAAAGGAAGAAAGAAGGTTGAAAAGAATAGAAATATTCTTCATTGCAGTGTGGTAAGTGTGAAAGAAATATTGTACTCAAGGTTTGTAGTAAAAGCACAATCAGACTAATGCTACACAATAGACCACTGCAGGAGCTTACGGGCCGAAAGACTGCAAGAACCGCCTTTACAGAACCTTTTCCAAGGCTGTTTTTGATGTAGAAAAAAGTACTTCTGAGTCGCCCTGAAACGCTGATGTCTCAATACTGTTTAACTCAGAGAAGACAAATGTTGATTGGTTAAACTTGGAGAGAACCATAAGGATACTTTTTTGTCTGCCCTGTTGATGTCCTTGTTGGGTAGCAGTCTTCTCCTCTCTAACATCAGCATCTTAAATGTAAAATTCACCATATAGTCTGAGCTCGTAGAAGTTACTTTTGGATTCGAAGCTGCTGGATCCTACACTGTAATAGAAACAGAAAGCCTGAAAAGGCTGATTATGGATTCTTGTAAACCTTTGCGCCGACCAACATGTTACTGATCATTACTAAACAGAAAATCACAATACAACAAGGTAACTGATCTTGGAAAGTACATCATCTACCGACAGATGATTAATGTTAGTCGCAGCCCACTCCATCTTTCCCCACATCCTGCTGCTTCTAAAATGCTGATGTTAGTTAGAAATGTCTCTATAAAAGCCTGAAGGAGTTCTATCAAAGTCCTGAAAGGCAAGCCTCGCCACTTAGCTGCCATCTTGGTAACGCCCCCCCAGGCAGTTATTTTGGGCTAACAAGACCAGGTCTATGTTTAAATGAATGGGGAGAGAGTCATTACTGCAGTTCCAAAGGTCACATAAAAAAAACTGCAAATGAGGAATAAAAAACAGGATGCGAGGGTGTAATCGTCAGTCAGACATCAGGGGGGGAGGAGTGCGTAATGACAGGCTTATCTTAATAAAAATGTCTTTTTTAGCTCTGATGGAGCTCAGGGTTCATCCAGAGAAGCTTTAGTACAAATAATTCCACCGTATAAACCTGGAATCTGTGTGGAACAGTTGACCTGTGTGGTGTGCAGAGGAACATTATTTATTGTCAGACCCTGTGTGTTAATGAAGTTACAGCTGCTGTGCCATGTGTGTGTAAAGAAGCAGTGTGTGTGATGCTGCAAGTATTTAATAAAGTCAAAAGAAAGACTCTGACACATAGTCGGCTGTGGGCAACCAGGACATGAGTAGGTGTGTTCTGCAAAATCCAGAATTACACTCAGTGACACCGAAAAAAAACATGGTGAAATTTAAACATTAATATACCCTTTTAGACATGCCTGAGCTACATTAGTAGCTGTATTCTGAGATATGTCAATATGTTATGTAGTAGATACCTGTGGGGGCGCAGCGTTACCTGGATGTAAGCCGGAGCTTTATTAACACTGAGCTGGGTCGCCCGGGTGACGTGTGATTTTGAAATACCCAAAACAAGAAACATCACCGGTGATGTAACTAGATTATGTACTGTACGTTAAAAGAAATGTAATAGATGGCAAGGGACAAGTGAAACAAGAAAAAGCAGAACAAGAATAGTTGATTTATGATGTCGCACACTTCTGCTGACTGAAGACAAACGGAGGCTTTTGAACTCTCAGCAGTTTTCATTGTGAACCAGAAATATGAAGAATATCCTGAAACACCAGAAAGTACTTTGCTCACTATCAGAAGTAATTTTACTGCCTATGATGGGCTGTTTTTAATGTGCAACAACATATTCTCCCTCCATCCAATGTCCTGTATGAAGTTTCTCTCCTATGTTAGTTTTGAGAAAGTAGCTCAGCCCAAAATGTTCAGGGAAAGGAATCAGGGTTGGTCACAGCAGGGTGGACATGATATCCAAAGCTGTATATTTGGGCCCATTAGAACATTAACTTGTCGAATTTAGTTGCAGAAAAGAAAGTGATGCACGCAGACTTCTTTGGAATTGACTTGCAAAGCCTGATGTCCCCCAGACTCGAGGTCTACAAATGAAAACGTCTGAAAGCAAAATCTCGGATGGCAGCAGTTAAGCTTAAAAACAGCATCTTAAAAGTTTAACAGACATTTAGTTTTGTATTTTTTCACTGGTAACAAATATTGTCATGATACATCTAATCGGTTGTAGTACTGGCTTGTTCCGTTTTCTTTCATTTTATTTTAAAAACTGAGTTTGTTCAGATTTGCCAAAAGCAGTTGTTCAATGAGTGAGATTTGGTGACAAGCAAAGGCTTAAATAGCTAACTCTCACGTTTGCTTGCTCTTTCTTGTACTACCTACAACATGGGTAGTGTGCTGTTACAGTCCCAAAGCCTGTCTTTATATATTTTTAAGGTGACATTTTCTTTTAATTCTTTTGCAGTGTAGTGATTAGACTGTATATTTTTGGATCAAACGTCTGTTGAACGCAAATGTTGTGAAGGAAATCACCTTATTATTGCTTGTGTTTCTGACTAAATGTCTTTTAAGATAGTGTAATTAAATATTTATTTGTTTATAGATTTGCTCTCATGCTGTGGACTGTGAGTAAACATGAGAATTTAGGCAAAGTGCCATTTGCACTTGATTTATGTCACACTAATGTTTTCCTTAATGGATCTTATGTACCATTACTGTAAAGTATTGCTGTGTACTGGACTCCTTTATTGCAGTTCTCCACCAGAGGTCAGTATTTTGTTACAAGTACTCTGCGTTGTCGCTAACCTAAGATGTTCCATGCAGCGTGGATTCAGAAGTCTCTATGTGTGCTGTTTTCATTATTTTCGCAGTAGCATAGCAACATGACTGACCCAGGTCTTTCCCCCTTATCTCTGCGAAGCAACCAATAAGCCCTCTAGATGCCACATAAGATATTAAAATCAGTCAAGAGCACTACAACAACAACACCAAGCAGACATGTTTTTTCCTCTTTCCCCTCCTCTTTCATTTGTTCTTCCTGCAGACATTTGGCAGGAGAAAATGACTTTTCAATTAAATGAGCTGAAGAAACAGCCAACATACACCAACCATCTGTCAATCTCGCAAATAAACCAAACAAATGTCTCACCAACATACAGTAGCGAGTCCCAGCGCTGCAAACAGATGACACGCACAACCAGCACACTTTCCTCACAACAAAACCGGAGTCAAATAAAACCAGAGGGAAATAGACATCATAAAGTTTTCCCTTTTTTCATGCTGCCAAGAACAAAAGTCAATCCCTGCATGGTGGGGCCTTTGATATAGACAGAGAGTGAGCCCAGCTTATGTTGTCAAAAATGTGTGGTGTGTGTGCATGAGTGTGTGCCAGTGTGAGGCCACATTTTGCAGGGCGCAGCCCACAGGATCCACGGGAGGGAAAAAAAAAAAAATCAAGATAGCCATGATCCCTGCTTCCTCTTCTCTTCTCCTTCTATCTGTCTCGTGTTCCCTGTTGTATTATCTGGGCTATAAAAAGTGCAGAACCTGTGAAGAGAGCTGCTGCTGTCAGTTGTGTGACCATCTCATATCTTTTATTTTTTTTCCTGAGATGGGTTCACCGTTGTGCTTCATACTACAGCCCTTTGATGTGCATCTCACACATTAACATTTACAGTATTTCCTCCTTTCCTTTCTTATTGATATGGACTTCAAAACAAACGCACAAAGGACCCTGAATGTTGTGAGGGTGTGTGATTTACGTCCACGCGCTGTATGTGCTACGTGGCAGCCTCATCAGAAGGAACATGAATAACCATTTGCTCGAGTGCTGTGTCAAGTTTGGAGAGAGGAAAAGCAATCTGTGCAATTGGCCGTCTGAACAAGACTTTTCGAAGCTGGTAGGCTAATTATTTCCATTGCTATGTGATGATGGCACACTCACAGATAAGTGCTGGAGGCAAACTGGGAGCTCTTGGATTCTGTTCCAGTAGGATCTGGCTTTTAAAAAGTCAAGTAAAAGACCCTATGGAACCAGTGAGGCAACACGCCCATCGTATGCATGCAGCCAGAAACCACTATAGAGGTCCTTTTAGGCACTTTCAACATTTGCATTCAAACAAGCTTATTTCGCTCCAGCAATATTACCCTCATGAAACATAGAAACCCAGCCTGAACACTGTCAGACTCATTTTTCATCTTTTTATCCTGAATCCATTCATCCTCTGCAGATAAGTGCCACTGTGACATTACAGCGAGTGAAATAAAGCCTTTTTGGGGGGATAGTGGAATAACATTTCAGCTGAAGATCAGCACTGTTCCCCTTTAAACTGGTCTATAAACATTCGAAAATAGGGAAATTGAAGATGTTAAATTCTGTTAAATTGTACAACCTTGAGCCATCAGCCTGAAACAACCACAGCAAATGAGTGAATTAATGTTAGTTGCAATCAATCAAAAATTATTACATCCTACATTTTTTTGGATTTTAACATTTTGTAGTGAAAGCAGACATAAAAAAGAAAATTTGTTTTACCATGCCCTGTCATAACTACTGCATCCAGCTCTCTCTGTCCTGACAACTTATTGCTGTATTTCAATTTATTGCTTCCTGTGTGGGGAGAGGTTTTCCTGTGACCACACACTGTACACCATGAATTACACCGGCGAAATTAACTTAATGTACAATGTCTCCTCGAGCTAGTGGGGATGTTGGACCTAAATATATAGCTCAGACTGCTATTTGCACCTATAATCGTTGCATATGACCCTTTTATGACACAGCCATCATCATAAACTTTATTTATATAGAACTTTACTACAGTACAGCTCACAGTGCTTTACATCCAATTGGATTTAAATATTTAAAACTGCGAAAAATGCATCTAAATACTCGATTCAAATGACATAATGAAGACTTTCAATGGGATACAATGACAGCACTAATGGAGACGTCTTCAAAACAAGATTAGAAATCGTTTAAAGATGTTTCTGAAGGAATCAACAGATGTTGAATATTTATTCGCAGGCTTTACCACAGTTTTGCTCCGCAGGGCGCCTCACCGCACGACTCTGTCTTAACCGGTGTTTCATGACCTAAGGCAGCAGCAAGGATTAGAGGGAGAGACAGTCGACCTACTTTCGTACGGAGGTGTTAAACCATTTTGCACCTCCACGCTGCTGGTACAAAGTTTTTAAAAATTAAGGTTAAACACTTAAAAGAACACTGCAGTAGTGCAAACTAGAAAGAACCAAACCTAGCTATTGTGTTGCTTTTGTTAAATGTCTCAGGAGGAAAAGCTGCAATTTCAATCACATTATCAATAGTCTTAATAAAGTGGCAATAGACATTTTTGTTTTTGCAGTGTAATAGCAGGCTGCAGAATAATGGCACCATTGGCATTTACTAGTAGATCGGTTCCCTATAAACTTTGCTATCACAATGCAATTCTGTCTGCCATTGGGCTCAAAATATTGATGGCTCAATTTACACAAATTTCACAAAGAACAACAGCAGTAACTGTGGAAACTTTTACCTGGCTAAAGAAAATTAGCCCAGCTGCAGGAGGTGAAGAGAGTACAAAGGGAGGAAATGAGGTAACACCAAAGTGAACCTCAGATGGACATTGGAGAGGCTCAGTGGAGGAAGCAACGGGATTTGTGAGAATTCAAAACCAACATTCAGTTGGCGTTATTTCTAGTAGATCAGTAAAACTCTTCTCGTACATGGGATACACAACACTGCTGCTTCATCGGTCTGGTAAAGTGGTGGTTTGTCATTCAGACATGACTCACTTTTATGCTAATGTTCCTCATGGCTTCATTCAGACATACCTACGATGGTAATAGAGAAAGCTACAATATGAGATTAGACAATACATCAAGAGACCTAATGCAAAATAAACCCCAAAAAAGACACAAAATCTAAATGTAACAAATGATTCAACTACAGCTCATAAACTCTGACTGTGTGTGTAGCAGCTCAACTGTCTGAAGAAAAGTCAGCACCGTGACTTAAAGTTAGATCCTGATTGATCCTGTCTTCATGGTGGGGATGATTTTTA